TCATATTTACGAATTTTTCGGTATATATATTTACATGATAAAACTCTATATATGCCTATGTATACACACATAAATTACACTTCACGTTTTGCAATATTATATGCATCTTGATACACCATAAAAAAAATAGAAAAAGGAATTAACATTTCTCCATATATTCACCCAAATATATATAGTTTTTAACTTTAACATGTCTGTAATGACAGTATCAATATATTACATGCATAGACAGTATGGAAAAGATGTGTTGAGAGAATGGATGGAGAAGTGGGACATGACGACGATGGTGGTGGTAGTATGACAAGGATTCAACGAGGAGAATAATTACAGTCTCTCCCATGTGAAGAAGTACTAAGCGTTCGCTGTACACAGAGAGAGAGAGAGAGAGAGAGAGAGAGAGAGAGATGGACTGTACAAGAACGATTAGGTTGACAAGCTGCATGTGAGGAAGAAGATGGTCTTCATGATGTCGTTCCCCTGCGGCGTTCTCCGCAGTGCACGCATGACGTTTCATTGCAACAAACAATTAGGCATCGCTGCAGTGAGTTCTGACCATACGACCGCCCATGACGACGACCATCTCCTCCCTTCTCCTCTCCTACCACAAGAGCAGAAGAATGCCCTAAACCACAGATTTCTTTCAGCAATTAAGTATGCACCAAAGTGTTAACTTACATCTAATATCAAACCATTTTTTGGGTGCTGCATGCAGTATCGTCACCATCAACACCATCGCCTCTCTCCTGCATGTGTTGGTGCAGCAGATGCATCCGTCTTCTGCGCCTCGACAATCACAACCAATGCTATCTTTGCACCAAATGGCAAACTATTGCAGTAATGAAAGTCACTGTTCAAAGGCAACAACTTCAAATGCGGGAGTCCTTCAATTTGGTGTATGTTACAGTTGCTTCCAGGGGAAAAATCTTGTGCTATACTCTTGCAAAAAGAATGAGAGATATTTGAAGATTTTAGATTTGAGGTTAGTAATCGAAAATGTTCTTCATCCATTAGTTGTGGAAGATAGGTTGTTCTCGTTCAACTAAACATTGGTTATATACAATAGGATTTATAATTGGATCAATCAAAAGATTGTTTACGTTCAGCAATGGCTAAAGCAAGTTATCACACAATGTTGTAGGCATGACTAAATTGGTTGTGTCATTGAGATTGAGGACATGCCGTAAACAATGGGATATCTCTTGGACATTAGTTGAAGAGGATAAGATCTCATGTTGAGTTGCTCGTAGTCTTCCTCATAAAATAATTTAATGTAATTGTTTTGAGAAAGCTGACATCCAAATGTCACAAAAGTTTCAAGATTGAAGATGTTGCTTTCGTTATCCATACCCATTTGATGCACATCTTCCAATCACAGACACTAAAGAGCATGTCCTTTATTACATCGTTTTCACATGACAACACAAATTTTTAGCGCCTAAACTTCTTGTAGAGCAAATAATCTTTGTTTATATTATCAGTATGTTAATGGCTTATCTTTATTCCAACAGATGTGTATATTTTTTAATAAAAAACATTTTTATCTCTATAAAATGTTTAATTATATTATTTTATCAATCCTTTTTCGAATATATAATAATATACTATTAATCTAAGATTAAAAAAAAGAAACAAAAAAAATTGTATTAATTTTTTATTTAAAAAAATTGATAGGATCTTGAACTAGTCTTTGACCTAAGACCTATAAGCCTAAGCACCTAGGCTTAGATGAATTTATACTTGTAGATGTCATCTATTTATAGGTGTAGAATAACAATTTGAATCAAGAAACCTTTTATCTCTAAAACTTTATCTAATCAACTTATTTAAAAGATAATAATAATCTAAGATCTTCCAAAAGATATATTTTAAATTTTAACACTCCCCCTTTAAGTATATTTTTGGAGATATGTCTCATCTTGCTTTTTGAAGAACTTCACACCATCCTTTGGAAAGAGATTTGGTAAAGATATACACGACACTGTCTTTACTCTTGATCTCCATAACCTCAATTACTTCTTTAAGCATCTTTTTTAGAATGAAATGATATTTAATTTCAATATGCTTAGATCTTGCATGACAAATTAGATTTATAGTTAATTTTAAGGTAACTTGATTATCACAATACAAAATAGTCGATTTGTTAATTTAATAGCAAACATGCTCGGTTAAATGTCTTAACCATTTACATTCTTAGCAGTAAGTGATGAAGCCTTATATTCTGTTTTGATTGTAAAAAAAAAAGATAAATTATTATTTTGTACTACACCATGAGATACAAGCATAATCATATAAAAAAAACTTAACTAGAAGTGAATCTGTAATTATCCAAATCACCTTCTAGATTAGTATTTGCATAACCATACAATATAATATATATGTCCTTCTTATAAAATAATCTCAAATTAAGGATAGAATTCATATATTTTAAAATTCTTTTTGCTATATTAAGATATGGTTTCCTCGGAGATTGCTTAAAATAACTTACAAGACTAATGCAATATCTGATTTTATAATTGTTAAGTATACGAGACTATCAATAAGAGCATAAAAAGATCGAGGGTAAAAAAAAACCTTGATAATTACAGCTAGCTTTATATTTGCATCAAATTGGAGAAGAAATCCTCTTACTTTTTGTTAATTCCAAACCTTTCAATAACTTTCTTTACATAGCTTGTTTAAAAGATAAATATATATACTTTTATATTTAGCATCTTCAAATTAAGAAAAATATTAAGCTCTCAATTCAAACCAAAGAGAAGATTATCATGAAGCTTTGATATCTTTATTTCATCATTACTAATGATGATTATATCATGCACATGTAGAATAACAACAATATAGACTTTCTTGCTTTTTAATAAATAAACTAAGATCTAAATAAGAAGAAAAATAATCGTGAAAATATAAGTATTGAGTAATTTTGTCATACTTTACTCTAGGAGCTTGCTTTAACCCATAGTGGGACTTCTTGAGTTTGTAAACATAATTTAGTTTGAAAATTAAAATATACCCTAGTAGTTGTTCATATAAATATCCTTATCAATTTCACCGTATAGAACGGTATTCTTCATATCAAGTTGTTAAGACTTTCATTTAAGATTAACTACTAGAGCAATTGTTATTTTAATAGATGTTATCTTAGCCATAGGACTAAAGATTTTCTCGTAATCTTCTTTATATTTTTTAAAAAACTCTCTTACAATAACTCTTGTCTTATAGCGATTTATACCTTTGTCTAACTTACGTTTTACCTTATAAACTCATTTACAAATATTTAGATCCACATTTATAAGTCTTGGCATAAGATCTCAAGTTTCATTTTTATAAAGAGCCTTCATTTCTTCAACTATAGCAATATCCCACTCCTTAGCACCTTTGAATTCATCAAAATAAATAATCTCAAGATCATCAATTGATTCAAAAAATAATAATAATGACATATATTATTACTATCTTTCTAACATACTGATTTGATAATTATTCTTTTTTATTTCTTAATATTAAAATTTTCTCTTTGTAAACATCATTATTTCTCTTATTACTTTGCTCGACCATTGATGATAAAAAAAAATAGATATAGATGAGGAAGAAGATAAGTCAAAATTCGAACTGGATGACAAAAGAAATCAATCCACACATTTTGAATATATATCACTTTCATTTTTATGATTGATATTTATAAAAAAATTATTTATGAAGGATAATAAGAAGAAACTTCACCAAACATAATATCTCGAAATACCATGTAAGTTTGTATTGGTGGATCCGTACATTTTCAACCTTTTTTTCTTTTCATCATAATAAAAATATATTTATTGAACTACTTTTGACTTCATTCTTATATACCTAAATATTTAAACCTTGATGGATCTAAGACTCTATCTAATTAACTTATTTAAAAGATAATAATCTAAAATCTTTCTAAAGATATTCTTTTAAATCTTGACAATGTCAATCGCTCTCATTTGAATGAGAGATAAGCATCTAAATATCTTAACCTTTTGGTTCTTTGCAATAATATCTTATTCCTTTTGGTGCTTTCAATGGAGATCTAAAAAGTGGGGGATGACTCGAGTTTGATGTGTTTGAGAGGAAATAAAAAAGATTTCTCAACTCAATGCTAAAGATATTATCTTTCAAAGGAGGACACATCACCTTGACCTTGGAAGCACGACACTGCAATAGTACGACCACCTGAAACCACAAGTTCTCCTCCATGGGAAGCACTCGAAAGCAACACTCACTTCTGTGACATGCATGCTCTCGTGTGACAGTTGATCTGATCACATATGTACACAATCCATATGAACGACAAGTTAAACATTGTGATCTGATCCAATCACTGGAAGATAAGCTGCCCATCTTCTTGTGGCACACGTCAATCCACACAATTACTGCAAAAGGTTGGCGGTGGCGGCTGCAATGAAGATGACAGCATGAGAAGAATTGTCAGCGATACTATATCTGCCTTCCTTATCATGGTCTATATATTGTGATATCTTCAGCTGTTTCCAATTCACAGTACTTCTACCTCTTCTTCCTCTTCAACTGCGAGACCGATGGCCAAAGCCCAGCCTTCTCGGTTTGCGACGGTGGCGCCACCGCTGTTTGTGTCGGTGGCGCGGCAGAAGGTAGCAAGAATTCTGGACACGATAATGGAGGAGGACAAGGAGGTTGCTGATGGTCTCTCGACCGCGCTCGATCGCGGACCTTCGATACGTATGCATGGGGAGAAGTCATTCTTGATCCGACACCATCATTTCCTCATGAACTGATGAGTGCAGTAACAGCGGGATTTTGGAGAATATGTGATGTCCTTTTGTGTTCTGTTTGTTAGTATGTTATAAAAGCTTCTTCTTATTGCTCATCTTTTGGCTCATCATTTGCATTTCTTGTGGCTTCTTTCTTCACGGCAGAGAGATCATACCATCGAATCAGAAAGTAAGCGATTTGATAGAATTAGGTGACAAATGATCTAATCAAAACTCAAAAACACATAATTTGGTGCTGGTCAAACTAGCAATCCTGTTGTTGGATTGGATAGAAGTACACTGTTGAATTTTCTGAGAAAAACCACAGCTTGAACATGATAAGATCCTCTGTTTGAGCTGGTTTTAGATCAAGAAGTTCGATCCAATTTTCTGAAGAAAAGTCTCTCTCAGAATCTTAGGCAATGCCAAAATTGTACATAATAATCATCTTCTGTTTCTATCCCCAACATTATTTTGATATAGCTTGACAACAAGGCACATCCAAACTACGATCAATAATGCCAGAGTTGGATTTTTTGGCTTCCATGTAACCTTTTGAGCATGCGATTTGGTTTCGGTACTGATTTCTTCCCCGGTGAAAATTGGCTACAACAGAAAGATGACTAGCGCTGTGACTTATTACAGGACAGAGCAACAAAACTGTGTCGTCCACAACTCACAACAATAGACCGATCGATCATTCGATGTCGGTAATAGCAAGTGTGTCTTCAGCTGCGGTGTGCTTCAAGCGTTCGATCGCTTTATCGACCTGCGAAGAACCACCATGAAGGAATCCTTCTTGTACCAGTTGATGCTGAGGCCTCAACTTAAAGAAGAAGATGATGATGGAGGAGGAGGAGGAGCAGAGTCTTCTTACCTCATCGTTCCAGTTTGTCCTGGCAGTGATGACAATGAGAGTCACTGTCTGAACAAAGACTCCGATGATCAAACCCCACCATATTCCCTGAGAAAAAGAAGGAACAAAGATTGACATTAACAAGCATGTGCCTCGAGAAATGATGTCACGGTATGCGGAGACGGCGCTTACAGCAGCTCCTAGATTAGTCTTGAATCCAAGAACACATCCAATGGGAAGTCCCACGAGATAATAAGCCCCCACATTCACATAGGCAACTATGGCTTGCCATCCGCTCCCAATAGCAACTCCTGAAAAGATCATATACGTGCCATGTTCTTGGTGTTGGTTGGAGTCAAAGGTGTTTGCCATGAGCGAGAATACGTACCTGAGAGGATGGGTTGAACTCCATTCAAGAAGATCGAGATTGCAAGCAGGGGTGTTAGGTTGATGACTGCCTTTATGACATCAGTGCTGTTGGTGTAGAGCTTGCTCAAGGGAGTGCGGAGTAACATGACCAGAACGCTGACGAACAAGCTGATGATGAGGCTGGTGGTGACGACGACGATGACGGCGAACTTGGCGACTCTCGGATGAGCAGCACCGAGCTCGTTGCCGATCCGAACGCTGCAAGATGCGATGGATTGTAACTTTCGATTCAAGGGCGCATGTGTTCGACTAGTGTTTGCTTTTGGATCACTAACCTGGCTGCATTGCTTAACCCCAGCATGATCATGAAGTCCCAGTTCCAGTAATTGACACTGAAGTAGCACCACATAAACAGGTTAAGATGAGGTTTGATTGATTTCATGGTTGTGAAAGAAGAAGTGGCTTGTGATCGTTACCATATGGAAATGGCATCGAGTGAAATCTCTGGACTTGGCAGGTAGCCTGTGATGAGCACAAGCCCTTGGATGTACCAAACCTCCAAGCTGCATGCAGTCAGTAACTGTCCCACTATTAGAAGCTTCATCATGACGCAGAGAGAAAGGGAGGAAGGAGAAAGCTTACACCAGCATGATGGCTGATGAAATAGTAAGCTTGAGGTAGGGCCAAAGTCCTCGGAAGGCCTTCATGGAGAGCCCAGTCCATGTCTCCTTGCAAGAAGGGCTGAAGAGTATGTAGCTCCATGTGACCAACACGAGCACCCACCAGGAGAGGGAGAGGGTGAGGGAAGCACCGAGGAGGCCGAAGTCGAGCACGAAGACGGCCAGCCAAGAGATGAGGATATGGAAGAGGAGGACGCCCACGGCGATGTAGGCCATGGGGTTGACGATGTTCTGAGCCTGGAGGAAACGCTGCATGGGGCAGTAGAGGGCGAAGGCGATGAGCTGCGGGAGCAGGCCGCGGGCGTAGAGCTGCCCCACCTTGGCTATCGAGTCCGACTGGCCGATGGCGCGTAGGATCGGGCCGGAGAACCAGTAGATGAAGCTGAGGAGGATGGCGGCGACGAGGTGGAGCACCAGGGCTCGCTGGCAGATGACGCCCATGGCTCGGTACTTCTTGGCGCCGAATGCTTGGCCGCAGACTGTTTGCACCGCGCTCGCCATCCCGAGCTAAACAGCAGATTGAGCCGGTGAATCGTGGTGTTGTGAGGTGGGCCGAGAGGTTGAGAGGGAAAGGGTTTACCATGATCCCGAAGGCGAGTCCTTGGATGCCGACGTTGATGATGGAGGCGCCGGCAAGGTCGAGGGACCCGAGGTGGCCGACGAACATCTGGGTGACGAGGCTGAGCATGAAGTTGAAGAGCTGGATGACGATGGAGGCCCAGGAGAGACGCCACAGGTTCTTGGACTCCCACACCGCCAGCCGCCACCGCGCGTTGCACGGCACCGGCTCCCACTCCAGCAGCTCCTCCGACACCCGCGACGACTCGTCGATGTCGAGCAGCGGCGCGAGGCTTCCTCTTTCTCCGTATACCCCGTTCTCCGCCATCTCCGTCCTCCCTCACACCTCTCACCTCTCACCGCCACCTCAAGGCTTTAAAGAGGCGTCACTGCGTGCTATGAAGCCATGAACTCACTAGTGAGTCACAGCAGCTGAAGCGCTCACTGCCTTTTCTGGAGCTAACATTCTTGATCTGTTCGTTGGCATCTGCAACGACACACTTGGATTCTCCGGTAAGGGAAGGTTAGATGAAGGGCATGGTTCCCCCAGCTACCAGCATTGTTCTCGGGAGGATCTATTCACTGAGTGAAGCGGAGAACAAAATCTAGGTCCAGATCTTGTTGGACTGGACCCAAATGGGATCTTTGTGTTGTGTTTCTACTAGACATTGGTGGACCTGAGATCAATGGACCAAGTTTGACTATTTGACTGGGTTTAGTCAAAATCGAGCAAGACCTGACTGGGTTTAGTCAATTCCGTTTCCTGTTTGACTCGAGCCGGATTGATATGTATTTCTGATATTGCAGTAGAAATCCAGAGGATTTATTTGGAACATCCGTTTATATTTGGCAATATGTATGTATTTATATACCTCGTTACTTGCAGATGTTTGTATCATTCCTCTCCATCTGATGTATTAAAATTTCAAGAGAAAATATGTTATTTCCTAATTTTGCAAGGATAAATAAATATCTAAAGTCCCCTTTATATTGTTTATGTTTTCCTAATATTTGTAATATATAATGGAGGGTTCAATTCAGAGATTAGTTCCATTAAACATGATTTTTATTATCTAAAGAAAACTTACAATAAAAGCTAATATATTTAAATATGCTGACATAAGGAGCAAGTTGATGTCCAAACAAGTAGTTTGAATGATGCAAAATATGTTTTGATTGATCGATAACACAGGATTAATTATAAGTTTTTTTATGCATTCTTTTGTGACATTTTAGATTAGGCTCAATTGCTTGGCTTATTGGTTTAAGGATAAATCATATATCATGCGTTATTGCTTTTACACTTTTTTTTTTTTTACGAACAGTCGAAATTACAATAATAGTTGTTTGTTAATGTTCTAAACATTATAGATTATGTTTGAGATATATGACTTAAATAGCATCGATTATTGATCTTGAGATTCTAGGATCGATGTAAATTCTTCTTATATGATACTAAAGTTATGTTTGAGAATATATTTACGTTCCGAATATGCTTGATAAATAATAGAAAAAAATATATTTTAAATATGCATTAATGTAAGTTTTATTTCATAATATTTATATTTCAAAAGTTTATTGAATGTTTTTAACAAATTTACTCTTTTAATATTCTTAATATTTATTCAAAGTGAATATGTATTGTTTATTCAAATTAATAATAAATAAATAAAATAAATGAATGTATGTATGCAATCTTATAAAAAAATGTATATGGCCCAAATATATAATAAATACATATAAAAATAATCTTTTAAGATAAATAAAAAAAATATATTATAAAAAATATAAATCATATTAGTTTCTCGCTAATTTTTTTATTTCATAATCTTATAATTTTAGATAAAATTACATGATACTTTTAGAATTTAAATATCGTTGGATCTTGAATTTTGACGATGAAATCAATTAATTAGTGTTTATGATTTAATCTGTGTTTTGAGTAACGCATGATGCTTCGATCAGGATGAGACAATTAAAACATGAAGAATCATGTTGGGCCGAAGGAAAACATGTCAAAAGATTGGACGTCGAGCCGGAGGATCAGTCAACGTATCAACACAAGGCTTCGGGTCATGGATTCGGGCATCGGGCCAAGAAAAGCAGATATTGCGGCAAGGATATCGAAGTTGTGGACTCAACTGGTCGATTGGACAATAGGTCACAAGAGAGGACAATGTGCCGAAGAATCGGACAAAGCGTCGATGGACCAACGACATGCTGAACAACATGATTCAAGCTTAGTAATAATTATCTAAATCGAAGTATATTTTACATGTGCATGATTAACTACGATAGCAAGGCATAAAGCAAAATGAAGTCCCGGAGTCAAGGACGTGATTTCGTTGGGAGTTCTAGAGTTCGTCGAAAGTCCAGACGTTCGTTGGAAGTTTTGTCGGAACCAGCCGAGAAGTCTCGGAGCTTGCTATAGAAGCTCGTCGGAACTCGCCAAAAAAGTTCGTCGTGAAATCTAAGAGCTTGCTGGGAGTCCGCTGGAACATTGCCGAGAGATCGTCGGAAGTTCGTCGGAAGATTGCTGGAAGCTCATCGGAAGAAACAAATACTTACGGACTTGTTTAGCTAAGTATGTCTTAGATTTTGTAGTTAGCATGTAATTGGGTTTGGAATTGGGCCAACCCAATTATGGGCCAGTTGGGCCTATGTAAGGACTGTATTTGGCCCGATGAGAGGCCCAAACAGTGACCCAAGAGGTGGCACCGTCGTGGCACAGTCTCCGAGATTGTGTCAGGCGATAGTACTGTCGGTCTGGGCAATGGTACCGCCTAGACACAGCCTCTCAAGCGGTGGTACCCCAAACTGGGCGATGGTATCGCCTAGTGCATTGTTAGTGTTAGACTGACACTGGCGGTGGTACTGCCCAACACAAGCGATGGTACCGCCTGGACCTAGGAAACCCGGGATGAGATATTTTTAGTCTCTAAGTTTGAATCAACTTGAAGCCTATAAATACCCATCTTATCCCTAGTTAACACACACAAGCACAGAGTATTTAAAAGTGAGAAAACGCTATTACAATCACTAGAGAAATCCCCTCCTATAGTCTAAAGTTTAGAATTATGTTTAGGAGGAGTGTGTGCTTGTAAGGGTTGTCTTCTAAACCCAATAAAAGGAGATGAGGGGTGTAAAAAGGAGATTGATCTTCGCCTATTAAAGAAAGATCGATAGTGGATGTTGGTGGCCTCGACGGAAGAGGAATCGACGAAGTGGATATAGGTCACGATGATCGAACTACTCTAAAATCTGGTTTACATTTCTTTGAGCAATTTACTTTTAACTGCAAACCTCCTTACTTGCTCTTTACATCCACTACTCGCTTACGTACGCTTTCAAAGTTATTAACTTTACGAAATAGTTTGTTGTCGGAAACAGATTTAATCAAAATGAAATTTTAAACCGATATTATTTTACCGCTGCACTAATTCACCCCGCCTTCTTAGTGGCGACACCTGTTCCTAACAAATATTACATTAACATCCTATAAATGTTGAATTGCTAATTGATCATTTTCAATACAACGTCTCAGCTAGATGTGATTTGAACCTTTCACATATATCAAAAAAAATTATGGATTATTATGAAAATTACTAACTTCCGGTGGTAATAGAAATGTTAATATTAGCTAGAATTTTAATGTTGTTATGCTAATGGTCGAAAACAAATTGTGATATCTACAATATTTTGAGTTTCACAAGAATAATATATACATACAATCAACTCAACTGAGATCAAATATGGGGTAGTAAGTATTAACAAAATGATTGATGTATAGGCCATGAATGTTGATAGAAAGAACACCAAGCCACTATGTTCAGTAGACTACATTATGTTTTTTTTTTAAATCAAAATTATCAACATAATTGATGAATTGCTGTTTATCAAACTTGTATCAATATCTTATAATTAGCATAAGTTTGGCATTACCACAATATAGGTTGCACTGGTCCTTCATAAATTATTGATTGGAGTACTATGATTCTATTCACAGGTCCCATCTGTCTTCTTCAACTGTATTATATTAAGGTGATATAATCAATGTTTGTTCATCTTGCAAAAATTCCCTTCCTCACCTTTGAAACCCCTTGCAACTTTGTTTCTCTTGAGCCACAAGCTATGTATACTATAAAGATTTCCTTTTGAAATCAATCATTACTAAGATAATTTAGGGATTGATATTTATGTAACTTGTCATGGGTAGCACATTTTTGGTGCTACCATCTAACTGCTATACTGAAAGCTCAGAGTTCATAACTAGTGGTGTCTTTCTTGTATCATCAACATAGTTAACCCACATGGGCTGTATTGGTTGGTGTACAATCACTCTTTTCACAGGTCCTCCTCATGTCGGGAAGGTGTTTTCTAATAATGCAATAAAAAATTGATACATCATTTCAATAATTGAACGAGTAACATATAAGATAATATTATAAAATTAAATCGTTAGATTGATAATATTATTCTCTTATCTAATTCGATAAAATATATTATGATTGAATTCTAATTATGATTATTATTCAATAAATAGATAGAACCTCATATCAATAAGATTTTATAGATCTTATCTTCTAGTATGTGAAGAATAGAAAAAGAAAAAAATACGAGTTTAGTTCTAATTGTAGATCGATATCATTAGATAACTTGGATTTGACGATGAGGATATGCTCGTAGATCAAAAAAAATATTTAAGTTTTCTGAATAGCATTAATATCGTAAATTAAATCTATTATTATTTAATTTTATATTTTTAGTATAAATATTTTTTGCTTAATAATAACATATTATGATTTTTATATTATCATATCATAAATGTGTTATAGAATATCCTTGATGTGGATAGCCATGATCTGTTCAAGCTATTCAACTATCAATTTGGAGCCCGAGCACAGGATGTGGATAGCCATGATCTATTGGAGGGATATGCTAATTGTTAGCCATGATCTATTGTAAAATCCAATGCCTCTTAGATTCTTTACATGAGAAAATGAAATTATGCATTTAATTCTCCTTAAATCCCATGCATAAACATCTCTAATCTCGACTAAAAAGATAAACTTGTTGCAAGTTTATCGGCTTCCATCTAATAATTTATCGCAATTTAATCTTGTAAAGGTGATGGAAAGTCACATCTTAAATCATTGAGTATTAACTATTGTTATTCTACCCAAAGGTGGTTGCCCACTCTCTGCAAGCTCTTTGTGCCTCGTCTCTTTCTCTGCTTTCCTATCAAACCACGGCACCTGATGATGACGATGGCTTTGTTGCAAGAATCTATCAGGAGCTCAATAATGAGATCCAAAATATCACTACTTTCTTAGTTGTTTGTGCCCCATTGGGAAGCTTAATCCTACGTGAGATTGGGAAGAACACAAGTGTAAAGTCATAAAGATCGAAGAATATGAGATGGGGTACAAATTTTGGTGTACTTAATGGTGCCGCCGTCTCATGATTGAAGGCGGCATATCACATGGGTTGCAGTGTCCCGTACGTCTTTACTTCCCGTCGCTGCATTAGTTTCTCTTAGAATGCCCTCGATCCAAATCCATCACCACATTAAGATCCGCCCATTGGCGTTCCTCCCGCTCCGACCCCTGTCTACGGCGTAACGGAGCGATGGGCGCAGCGGTGAAGACGGTGAAGTTGTGGGTCTGGCAACCTTGCAACAAGAAGCGATCTTGAGTCGCGCGAGAGGGGGCTCCGGGGATTCTTGTTGCTTGCGGTCGGGGAGGAGGAGGATGGGCTCGGTGGGGAGGACGAGGGTGGGGAAGTACGAGCTCGGCCGGACTCTCGGGGAGGGGACCTTCGCGAAGGTGAAGTTCGCGAAGAACTTCGAGACCGGGGAGAACGTGGCCATCAAGATTCTCGACAAAGATAAGATCTTGCGGCATAAGATGATCGACCAGGTCAAAAAAAAAAAATCCAAACTTTATCTATAAAAATGCAAGCTTTCCCCAATTCCTTTGTATTTTCTTTTGTTTCCTTTTGATGAGCCTAACCTAGAAAGATTTGTAGATTTTGATAGTAATTACTTTCTTCCTGTCTGCATCTTGGAATCTATGTATGCATTTCTTTTCCTTGTTTGCATTTCTTGATGTCTTTCTAATAGATATAGAATCTTACTATTATCTGTTATCAAAGATGCAGTTGAAACTGATTAGTTCTTTTTGTTTTTTCCTTTTATTCTGGTCTGGCACACAATTATCTTTGGCCGTTCTCATAATTGTGTGGCTTATGTATAATTGGGTTTGTTCATACCTCATAATTCAATGTCTCTGATGCTATCTAGCAATAGTTTCTTGATTCGTCCTGTTTTGTGATCTCTTATAGGCTGACTGACAGTCTTTCACATGCTCATATGCTGCAGATAAAACGTGAGATATCTACCATGAAACTGATCCAACATCCAAATGTCGTCCGGATGTATGATGTAAGGCAAAGCAATGGCTTTTATCTGCACTTGTGGCATTTAATTTGGTGATTCATCATCATCTACTTTACAGTGGATTACTAACACATTCTGCAACTCTCTTCATAAAATTTTGGATCTGCTTTCTAGAGCAACTTCGGTTTGATGCATAGTTGGATCATTACTTACACTGTTTTCTTTTTGCCCTTAATTGTTGCATCTTCTCTCTGTCTGTTGTGAAGTAAGTACCAATGTTGGAGGCTTTGACTTCATTCTTCAATGGTAGTCCAGTAGTATAGTAGCAAATATGTGATTGCTCAAATCTTTTGTTGTAGGTAATGGCCAGCAAGACAAGGATATACATAGTGTTGGAATTTGTAAATGGTGGTGAACTCTTTGACAAGATTGTAATTGGGGGTGTTTTTTTAGCATCACATTTCATTCTGCTTACAGAATCTTGTGTATTTGTGATATTGTTCTGGTTTCTGTTAATTAGGCTCGCCATGGAAGGTTGAAGGAGGATGAAGCTAGAAAGTACTTTCAACAACTAATCAATGCTGTGGATTACTGTCATAGCAGAGGTGTCTTCCACCGGGATCTAAAGGTTGAGCTTGGATTAGTCGATTCATTAACACGATTTGATTCTGCTTAACTGTGGCCTCTTACTTGGTGCTGGTAACAGCCTGAGAATCTGCTGTTGGACTCCAGTGGTGTTCTTAAGATCTCAGACTTCGGACTCAGTGCTTTGCCTCAACAAGTTCATGTAGGTTTAAAGACTTGCACTGACATAGATTACACATTTCGATATGAAGTGAGAAAAGACATCCTTTTCTCATGATTCTGCCATCTCATTTTGTTATTGCTATTTCACTGTGCTGCACTTTGTGATACATTTTACAGTAAATTGCTGAAGCTTAATAATAGGATAAGGCTGGACAATCATTTGAAACTGGATTAGTCTGTGAGTCTCTGAAACCCTGTTATATTTTTCAATTGCAGGAGGATGGGAAACTTTATACAACATGTGGTACTCCAAATTATGTTGCTCCTGAGGTAGGTAACCTTTATCTTCAAAGTATAGTTTCATTCATCCAATACACTTGGATTCAGTTTACTTTATCATGATTTGCATGTTTTCCTTAGGTGGTCAAGGACAAAGGTTATGATGGTGCCATGGCAGATCTATGGTCATGTGGTGTAATCCTTTTTGTCCTTATGGCAGGCTATTTGCCTTTTGAAGATTCCAACCTAGTCTCACTATACAAAAAGGTGAACTCTTGTTCAAAAATCTTCTTTTCGGATGATGAACAGCTAAATTAGTTTCCCCTGCTGATGTTTACGGAGGCCATCACAGATCTTCAAAGCAGATTTCTCCTGTCCATCTTGGATTTCTGCAAGTGCAAAGAAACTCATCCAGAGAATTTTAGATCCCAACCCTCAAACTGTGAGTTGTTTTCTCGAATTGTATCTTATTCCAAAATAGTGCTTAGAACTGTGATTTCAGATATTGCATGTTCCTGAGGTGATGCAACTCCCTTGCAGCGCATCACCATCCCACAAGTCATTGAGAATGAATGGTTCAAGAAGGGATATCAACCACCCCACTTTGAAACGCCAGATGTTGTTCTTGATGATGTGGATGCAATCTTTGATGAGTCAGGGGTAAATCTAGTCATGCTTGAGAATGTCACATGAAGTTAGCATATGCTGTAAGTCTGTACCATTCTTCGATTGTGCAGGAGGGAACAAATCTTGTGGTGGAGAGACGAGAAGAAAGACCAGTTCTAATGAATGCATTTGATCTTATTTCTACAGCTCAGGGTCTTAATCTTGGCACACTTTTTGAGAAGCAAATGGTGATTAGATATTCTAAATCTTCATTTTTCTTCTGTTCATCAGCAATCTATCGAGTGAGGAGGCAGCACTGCATACTCCCCTAACATGTCAATACTATCAATAGTCCTAAGTAGTAAATTTTAGGGAGCATCCAAGATTTGATGAGCCCTCTGTACTTTCCCTCATCTTCTTTGTAACCGTGAATTAGCAACATTACAAGATACTACTGACTGGCTTCCAATTTTTGGGCAGGGGTTGGTCAAGCGTGAAACGAGGTTTACATCAAAACTCCCTGCAGATGAGATACTCTCCAGGATTGAAGCAGCAGCCAAACCTCTGGGATTTGATGTAAAGAAACAGAACTACAAGGTGTAGATCTATTAGTCATATTTATACTACTCTGCATCCTAATCCACACGGTGTTCTAATCGAGGTTGCTTTGAACTCAATTCTCAGCTGAAGCTGCAAGGAGAAAAATCTGGAAGAAAAGGGCATTTAGCCATTACAACCGAGGTAGAAGACCATGATGTCCACTGCAATGTCTCTCTTTGACATTACATATCTATCAACTGAACTCTCTGCTTGTTCTTCCTCGAGGTGTTCGAAGTAACGCCCTCGTTCCATGTGGTGGAGCTCCGCAAGTCCAGGGGAGACACATTGGAGTTCCACAAGGTGAAGTGCATGATCTTCCACGTGCATCCTTTCAACCTCTCTTTTCTGTGACTTAATTCTCATGTTTTCCTGTTCTTGATCTTTTCTAGTTCTACAAGGGCATCTCGACGGGCCTGAAGGATATCATGTGGAAGTCACAGGAGTAAACCGGTGGATCTTTTCTAGTTAGGCCTTAGGCCTGCAAATGTGATAGTGTGCATAGCATGCATGATGAAGTATGAATTGGTGCTGTAAATGGTGGTAATGTAATGCAAGTCAAACAGGTTGATGATGAAGATGATGGTGTTTCTGATGACTGTCAAGTCGCCACTTATCCAATTATTTGCACTGAAGTATCAATCACAGACAGGTTGCCTCATGAGACAGTGCCTTTGGTGTGAATCAAGAATAGACTGCAATGCTTGCTTTATGAGGAAAACAGGAAGAGGTAGTAATGTCTCTGAAGCTGATGGCTGGCTGCGAGCTTATCGCCTGCAGCAGTGCCTCCCTCTCGAGCAACAGAAGATGAAGCCGCAGCCATTTATATTACTAGCCATTATTTAACTCTCTCTCTCTCTCTGTGTGTGGAAAGCGTGGGTGACGTCAGATGGAGACAAAGGCGGTGTCCGCCGAAGGGAGCGGCGCGTTGCGGGGGCCAGTGACCGTGTGGCCACACAGGCGAGGAGATTCCTCCCATTGGCCGTTAGCTAGGGCCCACCGCCGCAGACAAATGGCCGCGCCTAAAGGGCGAGGTTTGACCGAGCCAGCAGCAGCAGCGCACCGGGGGCCGCTCTACCTGCTGCCACCCACCCACGAGTCGTCTCTCCACCAAAAGGTCTCCCTCGCGGAGGGAGGACCGAGGAGCTGCGAAGTCCACGGCACCTCCACTGACCTTCGTCTCTCCTTTGAGCGCCCTCGGGACTCCGCGCGCTGCTCCTCTTCCGCACCGTGCATCTTTATTTGCTCTCTTCGATGCTTCCCATCAGATCGTATGCCACCCTACAAGTCTTGCCCAAGTTCCCACGCTACTAGCGATGCACCACTGCAGTGCAAGCAAGATCTCATCTTCCCGTGTCTCCTTGATTGATTGGAAACCTAGTCCTTTGATCGGCTCACTGTGGCCACCAAGTCCAACATCGGCATCAATTTAGCGTACTGCAGAAGGCAAAAGGAGAGGGCGAGAAGAAGATGGCAGCAGATTCTAGGTATCTTTAATGGCTACATCAGTTGATGCTGCTTGTGAACTGTATGACTTTGATTTGATACAGGCATGTAGTTGTCGTCTCAGAGAATTATAATTTCTGCGCTAGGAAGGAAAAAGATAGAGAGAGAAAGTGTGTGTCTGTATATATATAGATAGATTCCCTTTGAACTTGTGCTATCAAGTTGGAAATGTAGTGTTGTCCCCCTATCAAAACAGCGCGAATATTGGCGAGGCTGTCGTTTCTTCCCATGTGTTCATCGCTTCCAACTTGCCTTTTTCTTCCTTCTCCATCTTCCTCGCGGTCATCAATGGCAGAAGCCTCTCCATCATTTGTTAATCCCCGCTGCCCATTATATGCAACAGGCTTGTGTCTTGTGTGCCATCTTGTCTTACTCTCTCATCATCCCATCATCATTATTGCTCTCTTGCTTTCGGCTTACTTCAATCCATCTATTAATTACTGCTGTGCTGGTTGTGGACTTCAGCATGGGATTGACACAGAATAAACACAAAATAAATTGGTATTAGTCCTTTTGCTTGCTTACAAAATTCTCGAACACTGGTTAGTTTGATGAGTTAGAGATTCAATCTTCTATGATATATATCCTACTGATTGTGATTGTTGTATCATGTCATTTTAATAAGGTGCTCTACAAGAAGTAGCATATTGAGGCCATGATTCAACTTGGGATAAACAATCAAACCATGACACCAGATGAACTGGCAGTGGACAAGATTCAACACACAGTACAATCTCAGAAGTCCTCCCACAGTTGCATCTCCTCTGAACCACCAACATTTTCTGCTCTCTCTCCTTGGAGAATTCCTCTCATGATGTACTAAGCAAACAGAAGGGATTCCCTTGCACTGCCACAACCAAACACCCTTAGTATTTAAAGCCTTAGTGTTTCTCTAGTTGGGATGCTTGCAGTTCCACAGTCCAAGGTTGTGTGCCTCTTCTTTATCATTGTTATCCTCTCTCTCTCTCTATCTGTCTCTCTCTCTCAAACACACACACAGAAAAACCTATATGAAACAATTTAATTGGTCTTGGGTTCCAAAGATCAGAATGCTAAAGCCATTATTTTGTTCTGATTCCTGAACAATGCAAAGCACACTATGCATTGTTTAGGACTGTGACTGTGCATGGAGTTCCTGAGGTGGTAGCAGGCATTGTGGAAGCTCTAACCGTGTCTTTGTGCAAACCAACAAGCATCTTGGTGATGAGTTGTTGGCATCCTTCTCAGTGAAGAATATTGCTTCTTGTGAGGCGCATGGCTCCACTTGGTGTACTTTTGGCTGGCATTTGCCCAGACAAAGTTGCTTCTGCTGCCCTCAGACATTTCCTACAACCACACTACTCCTCCATGATATCTTAGTCATTAAGCTAATAATCCTCCGCTTGCCGCCAGCACATGGCGGTCGCCGGTGGCGCGGCCGCGACGCCGAATCCAATCTCTGCTTAGCTCAACCGAGATCGAGAGGACAGAGACAGATGGAATTGATACTTGTCCCGCTAGCTGCTGCTGGCGTTGCATGCACCACCACTGATTGGCACTTACACCAAGCATTTGGTTTTGCTGGTTCTGACAAGCTTAGGATCACTTTTTCTTGTCTGCTGGGCCATCAGAACATCATTCATATCACCAAGAAAATAAAGCTCAATTCAGCCGCTAGATTTTGATGCAAAGCGGCAAATCATCATCATCATCATAATTGGCTTTCAACATAGAACAAAGATTATATATCTTTCAGAAGAAAGATGCAGCCGAACAAAGACTGCTACAACAGACACTCGATCATGGTTGTGCAGCTGCTTTCCTTCTTCTTAATGGCGGTAACAAAGTCTTTAGGTTATACAGAACCTCATCGGATAAGTCTGTAATGGATGGGAAGCCCACCTGTCATCTTCAACACCCCCATTGCCACCTAAAAAGAAGATATCGTACAATGAAAGAGAAGCAAAAAAGCTGCAGAACTTTATATATATATATATATATATATATATATATATATATATATATATATATATATATATATTAGTTGCATGACAATTAATTCCTCCTATTTATTGGTCAAATATTTAGGATAGTCCAAATTCCCAAATTACAATTCTGCTCCTATGCCACACTGCGCATCTTTTGCATCCATGCGGCCTCTTCAATTGTCATTCCGAAAACATACTACCCCTCACGTTGGAGTTATTTTCAATACTGCCATACACTATCACTCCTACCGCACGTGACGGGGAAAAAAGTCAACGGTAGAAAGGTCGCGCGGAGAAAAGGAAGGTACACTCAGGTCGCACGTGCCGAGGTGGCCGTTCCAAGGTAACCATGGTTAGCCCGGCGTGACCTCGAGTCAAAACTGTTGCGGGAAACATTAACTAACGGCTGTTTTGGAAAACGGGATGATGCCGCGGAAGCATCGCGTGTTCCGCCGCTGCTATAAAGACCTTTTCGCCGTCCCGTCTCCCCCGCCCCAAACAAGCGAAGTCGGAACCGCTGCGGGAGAAACCGAGCGCTCGAGGGAGAGGGAAGGGCATCGGAAGTGCTGTAATGGCGGAGTGGCGTCGCTGGTCGTGATTCTTGGCTTTGTTAAAGCCACTTTTTTTTTTACGAGGGGTCGTTGCGCCTTTTCGCTTTTGTTGAGAGTTGGAGGTGGGACGGCGAGCGACGAATCGACGCTTTGGATCGTTCGGTGCGATGTCTGCCGCGTTCGGTGTCGGGGTTCAGAGAATGTAGAGCTAGGAAGAACGTGGAGTGAGTGAGACGGAACGACTCCGAGCTCCTTTGATTCCCTCGTTGGTTTCTTGTTCCGTGCCCGTTTCGATTCGCGAGTGCCCACTAGAGCGAGAGAGAGAAAGAATAGCATCGCTGCGCCTCTTTACTGCTCTTGGGATTTCGCTGTCTGCTCGGCGAATCGCTTCATCTGTTGACGGGAATCGTTTGGCTTGTCGCCAATTGTGCCCCGCCTTGTCTGATTCGTAAGAAAGATCCAAAGCGAGCCTCCTCTTTTCCAGGTTTTCCCTGTGCTCCTCTGTTCCAGTGTGGAAAAAGGTCGGAGCTTTTTTGCTTCTCCCTTGCTGTTGCTTGCTATTTAAAGGGGTTGCGACTCGAAGCGTTGGAGTTAGTGGGGGCGTTTTGGAGCGGAGATGTTGGAGTTGCAGGTGGAGTCCGACGGCGAGGGCGGCCCGGAAGCGCTGAACTCGAGCCAGAGCTCGATGAGCAGCAGCGGCGGCAGCTGCGAGGACCGCCGCAGTAGCTTCTCGCGCGTCTCCTTCGATAATGCTGCCGTGCTCGACCTCCCTTCCGGCCACTTGCCGTCCAAGCCCCACCGCTCGTCCGACCCCGCCTGGGCGGCCATCCGGTCGCGCGGTCTCCCGGCCAACCTCGGCCCCCGCGACTTCAAGCTCGTCCGCCGCATCGGGAGCGGCGACATTGGAACCGTCTACCTCTGCGGCCTGCGCGACGAGGCCTCGCCGTGCGTCTACGCGATGAAGGTGGTGGACAAGCTCGCGCTGGCAAAGAAGAAGAAGCTGGAGAGGGCGGTGACGGAGAAGAGGATCCTGCGGATCCTCGACCACCCCTTCCTCCCCACCCTCTACGCCGACTTCGACGCGTCGCCGCATTATTCCTGCGTGGTGATGGAGTACTGCAGCGGCGGCGACCTCCATGCCCTCCGCCACCGCCAGCCCCGCCTCCGCTTCTCCGTCTCGGCCACCAGGTCCTCGATCGACGCCTCTTTCTTCCATTAAAAATCGCACCTTTTCCATCGTCGGCCAATTTTTTAACCAAAAAAAAGACTCCTTTTGTGCAAATTCACGCAAGTTTTCGAAGTTTCCATGAAAACAAAAACATCGAAGTCTATTTCACGATCACAATCACAGGTTTTCTTCTTAGTTTGTTAAGGAACTGTAGTGAAGGAAAGTTTATCTGCTAATGTTATAAACTGGCGAAAGAAGCTGTCTTGTCGCTGTTCTTGCGCTGATGTCGCTTGCTTTCGGTTCGCATGCAGGTTCTACGCGGCGGAGGTGCTGATCGCGCTGGAGTATCTCCACATGCTCGGCATCGTCTATCGTGACCTCAAGCCTGAGAACATCCTCATCCGCTCCGACGGCCACATCATGCTTTCTGACTTCGACCTCTCGCTGGAGTCTACCGCCTCCCCCACCCTCGAGCCCCTCATCGCGGCAGCCGCCAACAGCGGGGGCGACGACCTCCTCCCCACCGAACCCTCCTGCCTCCCCTTCCGCGCGCAGCGGGCGTCCCGCCACGCGGCGAAGGCGAACCGGCGGTTCGTGGCGGAGCCGGTCAGCGCCCGGTCGTTCTCCTTCGTCGGGACTCACGAGTACGTCGCCCCGGAGGTCGCCTCCGGCCGCCCCCACGGCAGTGCCGTCGACTGGTGGGCCTACGGGATCCTCCTTTACGAGCTGCTCTTCGGCCGCACCCCCTTCGCGGGACCCACCAACGAGGCCACCCTCCGCAACATCGTGAAGCAGCCGCTGGCCTTCCCCCCGCCCTCCTCCGACCCCTCCTCCTCGGCCGCCAGGGACCTCATCGCCGGACTGCTCGCCAAGGACCCGGCCGTCCGCCTCGGCTCGCGGCGCGGCGCCGCCGACGTCAAGGCGCACCCCTTCTTCAAGGGCCTCAACCTGGCCCTCATGCGCACCTGCCGCCCCCCGTTCGTGCCCGGCCCGTCCCCGTCCATCTCGTGCAAGGACCGACGCGAACCGGATCGGCTCGATTATTTCTAAACCAAATCGAGCCGAACCGAACCGCTCCCCCCCTCCCATTTTGTGTAGGCGGCGACACTCGCTTTAAATCGTAGTCTTTGCTTGTCCTCCGTGAACGGATATATATATATATATATATGCAGCAATAAATCACGCTTTAGAATGTGCAGAAGCATTAACTTATGAGACCTTCTCTTGGACATGGGTATGTTATCGAACCATAATTATGTTGATGCAAGTGGGATTATATTAGCAGCACGTAGCAATGTGGTCTCCCAGTCCCTTAATCAGGAATCAGTCGTCGCTTGATTCGTGTACAGTCTCCCGCTTCGGAATGGGTGACATGTTTTTGACAATGAGAACGACAGTCTCTCCTCTCCGTTGACTTTGTGGCCACACGTTACCACGACTTAGAACTCGAATGTAAATCGCTCACTGGGATTTGGCACGATGTAAACGTGGCGGACATGCGGGCGGGGGACGTGTCGCGCACGTTATGTGCTCGCCTTGCTTGTCGGGTTCTGGGAGCTACCCTGGTGGGACGTACCTGCCCAAACCTCCACCGTCTTCTCCTTCCCCATCTATATCTATTCCTCTTCGGTTAGGGTAATGATCTCACGGAGACAGTAATCACTGCGTATATGTGTGTGGTGGGAGAGAGTGCAAGAACTGGCGTGGAAAAGAGAGTAGAAAATGAAGACATGCATTCAATAGCCCACCGGCGAGCAGTCAAACTCTTGCAGGTCTCCCGCCATAAATACCTGGAAAAGGCAAGGAGTACGTGCCGAGTCTAACCTAGGGTTGACTAAGGTATGCAACCATGGCGAACAGGGCTACGTATGTCATATCAGCGCAGCTAGACAGAGAAAGAGAGAGAGTTGTCGCCATTGATGTCGAGTTCCAGAGAGAGAGAGAGAGAGATGGGGGGATGTACGAAGTTGTTGCTCATGTGGCAGGATGCCGGTGGAGGACAGATGCAGACAGGGGGAGAGCAAAATGTGGGGTTCAGGCTCTCCACTTCTCCTCCTTTCTTTCTTTTACGCGTAGTTTTCTTTGCTTCATCAGAAGTTGATGTCGGTGATGATGGACTGAAGCATTATGACCTATCATGAATCATACATTTACTCGTACGTAAGACTTTAAAGAGAGTGATGAGAATTGATGACAAGCTTATTTAATCTAATTTGAACCCACTGTTGCGTTAATATATCTATTCAAAGTTTAGGTTGTTTTGTCTGATCTGAGACCTGGCCATTATTTCTGCAATGCATCATCAATATCTCCTCAATAAAGGCTCCAGATCTCCTACCAAAGCTAGCAAGGCATTTAATTGAGGGTATCTCCCTGTTGCTTGAATGTGGAAGCAGGTTCTTTTGAGCACTTATTACCTCAACTTCTCTTTTGGTGGAAGTCAGACACAATGCAAGTTCATCTTCCTCTTTCAATTTACAGTTGAATCTGGTGGAGTTATTTGAGGACCTTAAATGTTGATATGACACAGTAGGTTGTTCTTGGTACCACCGTTTACACAGTGTCAGTAGCCAGCAATAAAAGAACATAAGACATAAGATAATTAGCAGCAATCTGCCAAATCTCATTATTATATAGTAGATTAGCGTCAGCTAAACTCATCCTATCGCTTAGCCAAGACATGTAACCCTGAACAGTGTGACAAATCTGACTGTTTCTTTCGTCAGTAATCTGGTAGAACGCATTCTATTGCTTGGCATGGCATATAAGAAACAGCTCCATCCTCGATGGAAGTTGAGGGTGCAACTGATGTCTTGCTTCTGTACCTCATGCAGGATTCAATGGCTTCGAAGAGAGCTTATCGAAGTGAAGGTGGAAGCATGCAGTAGTCTCACCATTGCTACCTTCAGTTTGCTGTCTTCTATCTATACGTGGATAAATAATATACGTGCATGCATGTGTTCAGCTGCGACTGATTTGCTTGTCTCTGGAATTACGATGAGCTATCAGCATTGGCACAAACAATTCATGGTTAATGGACATGGACTTCACCTTAGCAGTTCTTCTGCTCAACTCCGTAAGTATGTCTCTCGCATCACACAATTTTACTCGAAGTTATCCCCCACAAACTTATGGTTTTTGCTTGTTTTTGTTGGATTAGGACACCCTAAATTGAGTTATTAATTTGATGAAGCATAAATTTGAGAGAACATCAATAAGGATTAGGATTTATAGAACCCATAATTAGACAATGTAAAAGGAAACCATACAAAGAAAACTGATGGTTTATAAATTCCAAAAGAAATTCAAAAGTTAGTGATAATCACAAAAATAATCTCTTTATATCCAATGATAATAGTCATAAATTGGTGATCCTCAACTTCAGAATTTTCCAGAACTAAAATGGTTGTTGAATCATCATTCCCTTGGATCACTGTTACAACTAATCCTCATGTTAGCCACAATTATTTGTCCCACAACCTTTTTCTTTTTTGTCATGCACTTAAATCTATATATTTATTATTGGATAATTTTTCAGGAAAACCCCTTTTATATTTTTTTTAAAATTATTGATTAATATATTTTATAAAAAAATTTCATATAGCACTCAATTTTTCTTTTCTAAAAGATTACATTGTTCCTTGCTTTCATCCTATTGGCCATCACCTTCGCACTATGAGCATTGTTATTACCTACCATTCTCTCTCTCTTTCTCTAGCATCATCCTCACCTAAGACCCTCTTGTTAAGATGACTGACAATGAGATGACGGAATGAGGATGTGGATGACCCTCGTCCTTATAACCCCCTCCACTAAGATCGATGACGGGGACAATGAGTAGATCAGGAAAGATGACCCTTAACGATGAGGATAATAAGACAGGACGACGATGAAAAGTGAGTGACGACAAGGGGCAAGGGTAATAGGATAGAGGTGAAGATACATAGTGAAGGTTTGGGATATAATTATTAAAATAATATTCTATAAAACATGGTTATTAAAAAAATTGCCCTTTTATTCTTTCTATTTTCCACTTAAATTACCACAAAAATATTCTTTGATGGTGGACACGTAGGGTCAGTTCATAGATACATCTAAAGTAGATGGCGTTATCCACTCACATGGCGCTATTGTCGTTATATTCGTCGAAGCTGTTCGGATCAAAACAGCGTGCAGAATTTCCAACCCGCATCAATCCATAACACGACAATTGACGTACGCGCGGGATGGAGAGTTTTCGACATACAGTGTTTGGTGTTTACCCGATGAGAGCTGATCAGTTAAAAGCGGGCAATGCGACAAACTTTTGACGAACAGGTAAAACGGCACGCCCGGATGACACGGTATTTGTACACCAACCGTTGTTATTGGGGGGATGGTGGTGGACCACAAAGGTCTCAGCCGGGGCACAAGGCACAAGAAGCGGGTGCAGAAGTGGGGGTAGAGAGATGGGAGTCAAGTAGAAGTTCGCACTCCACGGCAGCAGATCGGCGCGGTAACTGTCGCGACCTCGTCGCTCGGGACGCTCAAAACGGCAATGTCGGCAGAGCAAACCGTGCCACCACGTGTCCGGCCAGGATCTAAGACACGGCGTCGAGGCCACTTCTAATGACGATGCTGCCCGTCCTTTTGGGCCCACTCATTTGGATCCAACGCAGGCAAACATGAAAATTTCTCTTAGATTTGCTACACACACCTTAGATTAACGGCAATTGGATGTATGTTTTAGTCCAACTGACATGTAGATCCCATTTTGCTAACAAAACATGTTGAGCACGATGTCAACAATTTGGTCTTAGTTTAATACCCCACTGCTCTGAGATCTGTCTCCACCTGTCAGCCTTACAGGATTCAATTAGTGTTCTTCATCTTGATGATGAAGATTATGTTTGGCGTTCTATCAGAAATCCATTTCTTTGCAGTTGGTCTTAAAGAAATCCACGTGAGCTTCACTCCCCCATCTGCAAATCTGCCACAAAAGGGGCAGCCAAAGTGATTGCATCGATTACACTCCTTGATTTATCGTTCCATTTGCTTTTGTTCTCATCTCCTTGTCACCCATGGAAGCAATCATTCCGCCATGGCTCCCCAGCTCATTTCCTCATTGATTGCATAATCAAAACAAGAAATTGCAGTAGCAAAGCTGCAAAAAGGAGCCAATTCCGTTCCAAAATCTTCTCTCTTCCCAAAATATTCTATTTCTGGAGGAAGAAAGAAAAAGGAAAGAAAGAACCCAAACGGCTACTTTTAAGACTCTTTACTCCAAGAACGAAGAATACATGGGAAGAGAAGAGAAGAAGCAGTGGGGAGAGTTAGCACAGTAGTAGTAGTAGAAGAGGAAGAGGGTGGGGAGGAGAAGGGGAAGAAGAAAGGATGGATTTTAGCTCCTTCGTCACGTCCCTGGGGACGTCCCTCGTCATCTTCGCGCTGCTTATGCTTGCGTTCACGTGGCTGCAGAGGAAGCCCGGCAACGCGGTCATCTACTACCCCGGTCGCATCCTGAGGGGTTTGGATCCCCTGGAAGGGCGGACACGGACGAGGAACCCCTTGGCTTGGATCAAGGAGGCCGTGGGAGCGTCCGAGGCCGACGTCGTCGCCGCCGCCGGCGTCGACGCCGCCGTGTACCTTGTGTTCCTCAGCTCTGGTACGGCGTCCTCTCCCGTTGTCTTGTGTTAGGAAGTGTGTCGTGACATCAAGGTTAGTGCATCTGGTGTACCTCAGATTCGGTATGGCGTCGACTCCCGTTCATTGATTTATGCAAAGGTTGCATCTTTCTGGCAAATGTTGCCATCTGCCTCATTTTTTGGAGAATTTTGTGTTTTTTCCAAGATTTATGGGCGTAAATTTGGAAAATTTTTCTGCATTTCTTCAGCCATTCAAGTGCATCTAATTTGGTTGAAGTGACTGATCTATGTGTTTATACGGACATAAAAAAAAGAATTCCATGTTCTTCAGTGTCTTACAGATGCTGTATTTACTTGCCAAAATGTTTCGTTGCTTCTCCTACTATATTTGGTGTACCATTTCCAAGTTCAATGTTTATTGTGATTTGATTTATTACAGTCATAGTAATGATAATACAAAAATTAGGATATTTTTCTTTGCTTTCTACAATTCCTTTCCCAAATATATAATTGTGCTTTTTGGAAAGTAGTTGTCTTCACATAATTCATCTCCCTTTGACATTTATCTGCATTCATGTCATCTTCCCACTGATGTAACCCTTGTTTTATGTGCCTAATTCTTTGCATTTTGGTAGTTGCTATTGCAAAGTGTGATTTTGTGGTTTTGAAGGAATGCATACAATTCTTAAACTCCAACTGATTTACCACTTTCTTTGACATGCTATGTCTGGTGGTTTTAACACTCAGATAAGCTACAACCATTTATTTTGATAATAGCTAGTCTAATATACTTCATTCTGTCTTAAATTTAGCTATCTAGGTATATTCAGTTTTTTCTCGATATGAAAGATGTTCTGAATCTTCTGAATTGCTTGATTAATTTGTTATATGCAATAGAGGTGTGTTAGGGAATTTCCTAAATAAATGATTCAACTACCTTTGGACTTTGTATTTGTTGCTTGACCAAGAATTAATTAACAAGTGACTATCCAGAACATGATACCATTTGTCATGCAATATCCTGAAACATTGTACACATTTGTTGATGCAGTTTTAGCCATATTGGTCTTCTCCGGAATTATTCTGCTTCCAGTTCTTCTTCCGGTTGCTGCAACTGATAATGGTGCACAATCTACTACCGACAGCAACAGCGGTGGGACCTTCAAGAACCTTGACAAGTTGGCGATGGGGAATGTCCAAGTAAGTTTTGATGGACAGCTTGCATTGTTTGATTTTTAGATGAAAGGAGACAAAGTTATGAACTAAATGCCGCTGTAGATGCAATTTTATTACCTCCTAGATCTGTGTAAGGCTAGTGTCCATTTAACAGTCACTCACTATATTGTTTGATGTGTTATGGACTTCAAGACTCCAATATGTAGAATTTTATATTAAAAAAGGATCACTTAGTGAACAAAACCGCACAATGGAGAGAAGTCATGATACTCACTGACATCAAACAGAGCATCAAGTAAAAGAAAAAGGCTTGAACAATATATCCTTCATGCTCACAGTCGGCTTCCTCTAGGCCTCTGTCACAGCTCCTTCCTGTAAGGTTAACTACCTTTCTGGAATTGTTGTTAAATGACATCAATCAGTCACCAGTTTCTCGATTTAATCACTCATCTAGTTCAATTGACAAACACTATTAGGTTCATTGTCAAGCTGTAATTATTAACTGTCGCGTAAAATGTTGACTTAGGTTTATGTCATTGCATTTCATTATAGCATATAGTTGTCACCATCCTATGCATGCAAGTAAAACTAGATTACCTATTAAGGCCTTGATGTCTTTAGGATGGTTCGTGTTTTCTTTTGGGTATTGCCATCGTGGTTACATTTTGGTTTCCATGTATTGTAGGAGAAAAGTCCAAGGTTGTGGGCATTTCTGCTTGGAGTCCATTGGGTTTCTTTTGTCACATACTACGTGCTTTGGAAATCATACAAACATGTCTTAAATATGAGAGCTGGGGCAAAATCAAGTCCAGAAGTAAAACCTGAAGAGTTTACCGTATTAGTCAGAGACATACCAGCAGCTCCTCCAGGTCAATCTATGAAGGATCATGTTGACTCATACTTTCAAGCACTTCATCCAGAAACATTCTACAGATCAATGATTGTCACAGATAACAAAAAGGTACAGTGACTTTTGTGATGCTATTAAAGATATTTATGGTTCAACCTTTTGCCATAATGCACCACCTTCTGTTGTGTTCCTTTCTTTTAGGCAAACAAAATTTGGGAAGAGTTAGAAGGTTACAGAAAGAAACTTGCTCGGGCTGAAGTTGTGTATGCAGAATCTAAAACTACAGGCAAACCTGAAGGTGAAAGGCCCACCAACAGAATTGGCTTTCTCGGTCTTGTAGGTGAAAAAGTCGATACGATTGATCACTGTAATGAGAAAATTAATGAATTGCTGCCTAAATTAGAGGCTGAACAGGAGATCACTCTAAGAGAAAAACAAAAAGCTGCAGCTCTTGTTTTTTTTAACAGCAAACCTGCTGCTATTTCTGCTGCTCAGACAATCCATTCTCAAAAGATTGATACATGGACCGTGATGGAAGCTCCTGAGCCACGTCAGGTGTTATGGACAAATTTGCCAAGGAAGTTCTATGAGAGGCAGATAAGATCTTGTGTTGTCTATGGTATAGTTTTCCTTACTGTATTCTTCTACATGATCCCAATTACGTTTGTCTCTGCATTTACAACCTTGAAAAACTTAAAGAAGTATCTGCCCTTCTTGAAGAAAATAGTGGATCAACCAGAGATTAAAACAGTTTTGGAAGCTTTCCTGCCTCAGATTGCACTCCTAGTATTCATGGCTTTGTTGCCGACTTTCCTTATGTTTCTATCAAAGGAAGAAGGAATCCCTTCTGAGAGCCATGCAGTGCGAGCCGCCTCTGGGAAATACTTTTACTTTGTTGTCTTTAATGTCTTCCTTGGAGTAACTATTGGTGGAGCATTGTTCGACTCTCTGAAGACAATTATTAATCACCCCACACAGGTTATCACGTTGCTTGGATCAAGCTTGCCTAAAAGTGCCACCTTCTTCCTCACCTTTGTTGCTCTGAAGTACGATTCTTTTCATTTCTCTTGTCCCCAAATTTTTTTCACTAAATCTTGCATATTTCACTATTTTGTTTTCTGAAGTATGAAGTATTTTTCTTATTTTGGTAAAGCATGCAGATAATTGGTTGTTATAATGATTCAATTGTTTAGAAACTCATCACATATGTAAAAATCAATAAACAGTCATTTATTTTGTAAGTATATTTCTAGTTTCACATTGTTCTCCATCTTCTCAGTTGGCATCTTTTTAACTAAATTTCTGTACATTTGATCGCTAGGTCTATGTTAAACACATTACTTTCCTCGGGTTGGTCATTATTGCGGTTTATGTCCCAAAAATGTCCAAGTTCAGAGGAATGTTCTAAAACAATGATTTCCTATTATAGTTATTACTATGTCATGCATAATTTCACCCATTCAACATAAATTCTATTCTAGGAGTATTTTAAAATATTGTTGTTAACATCTGTTTCTACTTGTACTGTGAGAACATTAATTCTATGCTGATTGGATCTCAGATTCTTTGTTGGCTATGGGCTTGAGTTATCACGCTTGGTTCCTCTCATTATCTTCCATCTCAAAAAGAGATTTCTTTGTAAAACTGAAGCCGAAGTGAAAGAGGCTTGGGCTCCTGGTGACTTCGGTTATGCTACTAGAGTTCCCAGTGATATGCTTATCATCACAATTGTTCTCTGTTACTCGGTAATAGCTCCTATTATAATTCCATTTGGTGTGGTATACTTTGGCCTCGGGTGGCTTGTTGCACGTAATCAGGTGAGTGATTGCTCAATTTACTCCTAATAAGGAGAATATTAGTCATACTGATCAGCGTTCTAGTTTCAATTAGTTGGCTTAGCTTAATGTTAGTAGTTAATTTGACTTTTTACTCATTGATTTCTCTTGGACCATTTTCTGTCACATGGTAAAATGAATCATGTGACACCTGAGATTAATGTAAATATTTTGAATTCTCTTGATTGATGGCATGGGGACACTCCTGTGTCAATTTCTCTAATGCAGGCATTGAAAGTTTATGTCCCTAACTATGAGAGCAATGGTCGGATGTGGCCTCACTTGCATGCACGGATTATCGCTTCTCTAATCCTCTACCAGATCACCATGTTTGGCTATATTGGCATTTTGAGGAAATTCTACTATGCTCCGTTTCTTATTCCTGTCATTGTCATCTCCTTTGTCTTTGCTTATGTATGCAAAAAACATTTCTATCTTGCCTTCTTCCACACTCCTCTTGAAGTAGCATGCCGAGGAACAAAGGAAATCCCAAATATGGAATCCATATATACAGCTTATATTCCACCTTGCTTGGGTACTGAGAAGCTGGAGGATGATGACCAGTTTGAAGATGCCCGCTCATTTTCATTGAAAACCGCACCTTAGAGTAAATATCGACTGTGCCTGACTTGTCTATTAGAGATAAATCATTCTTCTACTAGCCAAGCTAACACAAATTTGTTGGTAAATTCTTCTAGGAATACTTCACCAGGAAATCTCTGCCGCCTTGAGGGAACAGAATTCTCATGATACAAACCAGTCTGGATCAGCTGGAAAGTGCATCCCTTCGGTGTACATGCCATTGTGGTTGCGTATTCTGTTTGTAGACATCTTCTCCATGACTTTGAATTGATTGCAGTAGTGAGTGATGCTTTCTTCTTTTTCTTTTCCTTTCTTTGTCTTTAGACATCGTCGATAAAATTAACCTTGGTTTGTTACAATTTGATCTGTTGTCAGTAGAAGTTTCTATGAAATCTGCATGTCTAGCTTATAAATTAATCATATCTTTTCCCATTTATGAGTCGCTTTTTTGATATATGTCAATTGAGAAAAGTGCTGCTGCCCCAACAAATTAATCTCATCAACACTAGGACTTCAAATGAGTATGAGTTCTCATTACTAGCTTGGAACTTCTGCAGCTACAAATTCATGCTAGGTCTGTTCATGGTTAAAGAATGTGATAGCTTCAGTGACTTCTGATGCAGCATGATACAGAAGGTGGTATTTTTCTGAGGTTGATGATGATGAAATCTATATTTTATGAGCAAAAAAAAAATTCTTGGTTCATGAAGATGGTCTTAACCACAAGATATCATTAGAAATGATGAAAATTTGTGATTTAAATAAGTCACAACAAATTCTAATATCATCTTTGAAATTGGAGCAGAAATGGCATTGTTATATCCAAAATAACATACTAGGTTTTTTTTGTAAGTACTGCTTATATATGGATACTGACTACTTATGTATTACTATAAAATCGACTCACTTACATTAAATTAGGATAATCAATAATCCAATATGAAAGTGATATAAATGGAAAAAATAGAAATCCAATCAATATCTTGTTCTTGGTGACATTTTCCTGCTGTGAATCTTAATCAAGATGTCTGTCTCTTCTAAATCAATCCTGGTGCAGCCAAATCAGGTTGATATTTGTTCTTCTGCCAAATATGGCTGTAGATGCATCACATTTTGAAACAGAGCCAGCATTCTTCAGGAGAAGATTAATAGTGTTCAGAACTCTCCCAACACCAAAACTTTTATGAAGTTAGATGAATGCCTCAACTTTGTGAGCAAATTTAGGAGAAAACATGGAGTTGTTCATCTCATTAGCCCTCCTGATCATGTCGACTACCCACAGAAAATGCTGCACTATCACAAGGATTTCTGATGATGCAGGTAAAGGTGGTGGTCTTTTTTTTATCTGATTGCATCCTTCTTTTTCTTATTTGAATGGAATTATTCAAGGTTGATGGAAACATTGGTACAGTTAGAACAACAAAGTGTAGTGTTCATTCAGGGTTGATGGGTAGAACAGCAGATGAATGATTAGCAGAGACTAGTTAGCTTCTTCCTTGAGAAGCACATCAAATTCCATGGCCTCACTTTGTTGTTCTTATTTATGCATTTTTTTTCTTTGTTGACTCATTGAAGAGGGTTTTGTTCTTCCTTCTTGGGATTGAATGAAACTAGTAATATGAACCACATCCAACTTTCCTAATGCATACTGATATCTGGATGTGATTAGAGCATAGACTTTCAGCAAATTCATGTTTTCAGTCTCTTCAAAAGTAGACTAAATTCCATACCTATCAATTCACCTCAGCTTTCTAAAGCTATTGCAGAAGCCATTGTTAGCTTATTATGTATTGTGACATCAAAAGTCATGAGAAGGAAAAATATGTGTTCCCAACCTATAATACTATATACTGTACGACCTCATGTACTAATTTTGACTTTATTTTGTGGAGGATAAAAGTCAATGTCGTTTTATGGATTATATGGAATTGATCTTATTTAACCAAAGGCAAAACATGAACAATGGGTATAGCGTCTCGAAACGAAGGATCAACTGGAAAACCCTACTTGTGTATTACTCATCATACAAGAAGAACTCAGTAGTGTCGCCTCAAAGAAGCTCCACACATGAAGCTAAATCTGTATGAGGTCAAGTTCCAACACAGGCATAATATGCAGAGAGAGAGAGAGAGAGAGAGAGATTCTCAATCACACAGATACGGAGATCAACCTAAAGACTTGTTCGAAATGTTGAGCATCGCATGGTATTCTAAGAACACCCTTCTGCTGATACCCAAACTCCTGAGCTGCCATCTCCAGCAACCCCACAAAGCACGGATGCTTGAAGGCCCCGACACTCACCACGAACCTCCGCAGCTCCTTCCCCAAGCCCACCACCACCGGAACGTATCCTTTAGCCACCCGGTCTTCTCCGCACTCCAGCTCGGTCACCGGACTGCACCGGATGGGAATCACCTTCTTCCTCATTCTCCTCCTACCTTATCATCGAACTTCGGATATGATTTCGTCCATATATTGCAACCTTTCCCTGCCATCATTGACTCAGAGCCCTCGTATCACTTTGGTGCAGTTTGGCAGCTTCTTTTGTTCTGATGCCTGCTTCACATTGAAATTAACGTGAGAAAAAGAAGAAAGGTGGGAAATTGGGAGATTGTGGACTCGTCTTCCCCACTTTAGACTTCATCACTCCCTGCATGCTTGACTTGGGGAGAGGTTTGGTAGGTGGATGTTTGACTTGCGAGGTCGACATGGCTTTACTGTCGATGAAAAATGCGGCTTCCCATTGCATTGTTTTCTGTCTAGATTTTAACTTGTTGGAAGCATTATGTTGTGTCTCCATTGAAGGTTTGGGAAACTGTTGACAATTCCAGCGAGATGCACTGTCATGAGACTCCATTAGGGTAGCAGTTTCTTACTGCTGAGTCACTTCATCTTCCATTTGGGGAAGCCCAGCAGGAGGAGTGAAGATGATGTTCCAGAGTAGTGGAATCACATTCACAGTGAGATGAAGTACACAAGAATTGGAAGCTTAATTACCTAGCCATGATGTGACTAAGAGTGACAAGAACACGATAATTGTTCATGAGCTCAAGTACTAGTCCTATATGAAGAGAGAGAGAGAGAGAGAGAGAGAGAATGATTTCACATTTATATTGCTTACTTCTATGTTACAAATTTCATCCTACGCAAACTCAATTTGGACTTGATATTGTCAAGTAGCCAAATCTGATCCGAGTACATATATTTTTAGTATGGTCAATTTTGATTGTCAATCTAACGTTATGAGATTACATGAGCTAAACCCGGTATCCGAATTGTCATGTTTGTATGAGAAAAAACTATAACTCGAGGGCAAACATTATTTATATCATGCATCTCATTTCTAGTTTCAATCCATTCATGCAAAAGAATATATCGAGCAAACATCATCAATAGTCAAATCACTTTTCTTACATTCCCTGTGAAGGTAAAACACTCGAAAGGAGTTTAATATTTCGAATAAATACATACGTAAAGAAGCTTTATATATATAATATCAGTTTTTTAACTTAAAAAATATACTATTTAGCGTATTCAGTAGGCTTTTTGTCTTATCGATGAATCATGTCGATCGTATATTATTTTGACTTCGCATCGAGCTTTTATCGATCAAAGAATATGTATCAATTGATTAAAGAATATGTCTTAATCGTTACTATCTCTACCCAATAAAACACTTTTGTTTTGACTTATTTTGTCAGTGAACATGTTTTGTACGTTGAAGATACTTATATCTATAAAGAATACATTAGAAGTTGAGATGTTTTTATCTATAAAGGATGCATCAAATACTTTTAATATTTTTGTTTATAAAGAACATATTGTATTCTTTAGATACTTTTATCCGTGAAGGACATTATGTGTTAGAGACAGTTAAGTCTGCGTATGCAAGAAGTCCTCTTATAAATGAATATTTATTTTAATCAAGATTCCATATGTGGTAGCCCAGTCAAACCAACACGAGAAGAATAGGGGACAATATTTTTCTGTCTCAAAGAATATTCTTTCTCATTAAATCAACTATAAAAATCCATCATACCATGGTAATTAAGGTTAGTGATTGTTTACTAAAATCCTTCACTTTGTTTCATGATTAATTAAAACATCAAAGGGAACACAAAAAGAACCCATCCGACATTGATATATGTATAACTCAATTCACAAACAAGCAAATGAGTCTTTATCGGTTACGGAGCGAGTGTTCATGCCCCTTCAACCATATCAGAGAACTTTTTGTGCACGTGGAGTTGAACCAAATCGAGCTAATCCAATCATCATCGATATCTCCCTTATCATTTTAGTACTAGAAAGATGACTTAAACATCCGATCTTATCATTAATAATCTAAAGTACCCTCGTAAGCCCTCCTTTGTCATATGTTTAAATGTATAAACAAAAATTAAGTCTAAAAGAATTATTCTGATATAATTATGAGTTTCTTCTCTATTTTTATTTTAAAAATATCTTATTGTTACCATGAATAAAATCTGCTTTAGTTTATTTTTTACATCAACATCAATATTAACATATAATAATTATGCAACATCAAGGACAAGTATTACTCTTCGAGTCATCATCAACCTAATATATTTGGCACGGAAACAATAGAGTAAAAAACTTCCCACAACAAATGGGTGATTCATTTTATATACGAAAAAAATACTTAGCCTATATCAACTCTTTGGCCTTCTTCTCTTCCAATTTATTAGAAATTATGTGGTCACTTTCATGTTCAAGAATCTTCCATGCCAATGTCCAACAATTCCACCAAATCACTCTTTTTTCTTACTTGTATAAGCCACGAAAGCTACCTTCCTCTTTGACTAACCATGTCTACCAAACATGATCAATTCCACGTACTCTCTTAGACTTGGACAAGTCAAGCTATGGTGTATTTATATGATAGATCGATTGTTGAATTCAATCTTGACACGGTTCGTGGAATTGTGATGCAAGGAAGAGGATGCTTGTCGAAATTGGCTAAATTAATCTAGCATTATATGAATTATTTGAGGCCATTAATTTGCGTATGGTGTGGCCTCCACGCTATTGCTTGTCCTTCTCTTGTACTCTCTTCTTTTTCTTCCGGTTGAAAACACCGAGGCCGTACCAAGTCACTCCACTTTACCGTCTCTCTCTCTCTCTCTCTCTCTCTCTCTCTCTCTCTCTCTCTCTCATCGGTTTACGAGAACGAAATAGCATAGCTAACCCATTATTAAATCCTTACCTATCTAATTATAAGACGAGAGTTAAAGTATGTAAAAGAATTCTAATGGAGATTAGCTATAATGAAGTATCTATAAACAATTAAATAACAATTTTGTCCCTTTTATTGATGTCTATCTATCACCAAAGTAGTAACAGTTTCTATAACCTTCTTAATTAAAACTACAATGTTTTATTCCTGTAATGTATGATGTCATCGAGACATGTACGATTTTTTCGAGTCAAACCATCATCAGGACTTTTAATGAGGACGTACGGGCACTCCATAAGGCTACATGATTTCTCTGGATGGATTTGGTGTTGTCGCACCGTGGATTTAGGTGTTGACCAAGATAAATATTGCTTTTCGTGATTCCCTGTCAGACTTGATTCAGGATTCACGAAGAAAACCCTCATTCGATGGCATACTGTCCCTGGCCCCACCGACTTTGACCATTAAAATATGCTTATATTGTGTTTGCTGGCCCGTGAGGAACAGACAATGGATTTATTGACAAGACTCCGGTTGTACGTGACACGGAGCCTTGGTTGAACCGTCGCCTCTCTCACTTCATCTTCTACTCCGTACATCGCTATAAATCCCCGGTTCGGCGAAAGAGAGGGACCCCGGCTCTTCCCATTCGCACTCCTCTGGCGCAGGAGAGGATGATACGGCGGCTGTCGAGGGTGGCGAGCTGCCCCCGGTACGAAGCGCTGAGGAAGCTGGGGAAGGGGAGGCGGCGCGGGGTGGCGCAGGGGCACGTCCCGGTGTACGTGGGGGAGGAGATGGAGCGGTTCGAGGTCCGGGCCGAGCTCCTCAGCCGGCCGGTCTTCGTCGAGCTGCTGCGCCTGGCCGCCGAGGAGTACGGATACCACCAGTGCGGCGCCCTCCGCATCCCCTGCCCCGTCCCGCTCTTCCGCCGCCTCCTCCTCCTCGCCGCTTCTTCCGACGGCGCGGCCGAGCGGGAGGAGGCCGAGATCCTCCTCCGCTCCTTCGACGTGCTGTTCCTGTCCTCCGTCGACGGTCCGAGTTGACCCGGCGATTCGACTCGCCTTTCATTTATGTTCAAAGTACAAGGGCAGATATGGAATTTTGTGTTTCTATATAATTAGTAGAGCCTTTCTGCTCTTCGCATGTAGCCAAGATTTTGTTGTATGATTATATTAAAGAAAAATAAATATTATCATTTATGAGTATTATTAATGATAAAAATTAAAATAATTTCTTTTCTTTTATTTATGAAGATACCATTCGACCTTCAGATTAATATTCAATTTGGCTCAATCTAAACTATTTTACGTGATAAATATATTAAAAATCTCTTCTTCTTCTTCTTCTTCTTCTTTTTATTTCACAAACATCATATAGTCAACATGTAAGTGGAAAAGGAATAAGTGGGCTAAGAAAAGTCCAAGCCCTTCACTTCAGTTCTAGTTAGTCAACTTTATCACAATATTAGAGAGAATTTGGACCCATACAATTCGAAAAGATACCAACTTAGGTAGTAACAATCATATGCATGAGATAGAAATTTAAAATTATTATATATATATATATATATATATATATATATATATATATATATATATGTATATATGAGATAAAGTATGTTGAAAATTAAATTATTGTGTAAGAATATTTTGACTGAGGTTGCATCTGTAAATATTTTAAATTTGTGTTCCTCAGAAAGTATAAATATAACACTTAATGAAGTATGTAATGGTTATAAGTCTGCTGTTGTATTGCATATGCACATATTTTAGATGAAAAAAAGAAAAAGCTTACAATCCTAATATTGAGCTATAGTGAGAATTGAAAGACTTACAAACTTTATAATCCTAATATTGAGAAAATTATAATTAGTAGAGATGTCAGTTTGCCTGAAGAAAAAGCTTTTAAATGGATTATGGATATAGGTAAACTTATTCTAGTTGGTCTAACAGATACATATAATGAAAATGCAGATGAATAAATACTTGAGGAAAATCTTGAACACCACTATCTACATCATCTCCCTTAACTTCTAAAAAAAGTTATAAGACAACCATGATGGTGCCATATTCATCACACCCCAAGCCAAGAGAGAGGTGGAGTGCAAATGCAAAAGAGGAGGGTGAGGTATTATTGTTAAGCACTATTTTGTAAGTCTTCAAGTAATAGAGCTTTTTTATTATTATTGTTTTTCTAAAAATTTCTTGATATGTATTTTATAACTTGATCTTATGAGATAATATATTTTATAACTTGATATGTATGAATTATCTCTATTGAAACATTCAGTTGGTTAGTGCATTATTACACAAGTGATATGTGTTTAAGTCCATATGTGAGGATCATGATTAAATAAATATTTAAAAAATTGATGTGTATGAATTAATGATTTAAAATGTTAGGTAGAAATTAATGATTAAAGTCTCATCAAACCACATTAGAAGAATAGAAATGAAGAGTCGCCTTTGATCTTAAAATTTTATTTTTTGATACTATGTTTGGTAATTATATCTTAACCATTTGAAAAATTAGAACACACATATGAAGTTGCAAGGATCATCCAGTAGCATGAGAAAATGATTGAAAGATTATTTTGTGGTACAAAAATAATTTTTCCTAGCTACAAAAATTTAGAAAAATAAAAGTTAAAATAGAGTTTGGTATTCATAAGGGAGTTTTGAAGATGTCAGTCCCAAAAATACATAAAATACACAAAATAAAAGATAAAACAAAGAAAAAAAAAGTATCAAATTATTTTTTATTGTTCATCAATACCACCACCTTTCATAGATAAATATAAACCAAATCCTATTAAAACATTATTGGCCCAATTCTTCTCCAACATGGCCCATTCAAAATCATTATTTTCATGTTACTACTACTAGTATTATTATTATTATTATTATTATTATTATTATAAGTTCATCCTCTGATATCCTTTTTCTTTGCTCAAAAAAATAAAATAAATAGGAAAATTCTTCATAAGAAGGAAGATTTTTCTACCCCAAAAGACAACAGAAAAAAGAGAGGAAATCTTTGGATATAGAAGTAATTGCCACACCTACATCAGAATATATTAAATCAGTCATACAACTACTAAACTCTCTTTGCTCGCTTGTCCCCAACTATCAGTGTTTCATTACAATTCAGTAACATATATATTGCAGGCACTGTCAGCATCGAGCTGTTGTCTGTGGGTACTGAACTGCGTTGACAAGCTCTTGCAGCACCTAAATTTCCTTTGCAGGAACTGATTTGATGCAGCAGGACTGTTTGTATTCCCCAATATTCTTCTCTTGGCACTCATATGTTGGATATCATGGAGTTCATAATCCTTCCTAGTTCGTCCCAGTTATCATCTCCGCTGAAGAATTCATTCATGCTTGGACTCTGAACTGTGTCAGAACACAAGGGCACGGAAGCTTGGTTGGTTGAGTTCCACTGGCCTCCATGGAAGTAGTTTCCATTAAAGGATTCAGAGCTTGATTCAGGTGGAGTTTGCTCCTTATGATCTGATGCTTTCCAACTGTTGGGGTTCGCTCTGTGAGAGACACTCCTCTTGAAGACTCGACAAATCGTCCAAACCTCCTACAGATCCATGCATGCATAAAGGTTTAGTTAGCACCTGACGGATCTGTAGGTGAAGGATATAAATATATAGCTAACTACGGGGCAATCTCACAGCTTCCTGCGTGCATGGGGAGTCGCAGGGAAGGCGGAACTCGTGCATCATCCACTCCGTTTTGGTCCCTTTGGCAGCAGCAGTCCTCCCTCTGGAGTAGAACACCAGGGATTTCTTCAGGCCGATGCAGTCGCCGGAGTTGCCTGCGGCATATATCGGCCTGTCGACGCCGGTGGCCTTCCAGAAACCAGACCCCGTCACCCGATTTGGTCTTATGCTGTTCTTGTACTTCCTCCCCCTACGGCAAAAGAAGTACTCTTCACAACCAGTACTTCTAACTTCTGTTAATCCAACAACAACACGAAGTTTATGAGACCCAACACAATCTCGGTGAGGAAAACATGGATTTGACTTACTTGGTAAATCCCATGGATCATATTTGTAGATGTCCATCTCCTTGATGACCTCTACACTGAGCGGCTTCTCGTCCACCTTCCGCCGGAGGTAGAACCCGACGATCTCTTCGTCCGTGGGACGGAACCGGAATCCCGGAAGAGGAACAACATCTTCGTCCTCCATCACTCTTCCTTTCTCTCTCCACATCTAATCAAGCGAAAGATTCTTATAGAACGAGTGTTCTTAACACATAAAAGTCACGTCTGAAGCTTCCTCCCTCCTTCTCTCCTTTATGGAATTAGCTTTGAACACTGATGACTTCTTCCAAGGAGCATGGACATCCAATGACAGCAACACTGGTTCTATAGTTTGGTGTTTGAAAATGACATACGAAACCATGATCTTTGACATAGGATTAGCAGTTGCCTGTGTCTTCGGATGTTGGTTTTCTCTGTCCTTGTCTTGTATGGAAAATGCTCATCTGATCGATCAGTGCAGAAGAGCACAATGAAAAGATTGATGGCCATTTGTATAGCATGCAATGCATGTTTCACTCCTAGAAGACATGTTGTGCATATATATAGGGATACTTCTATCCTCCAGTTGGCTCATGGCAGATTCAAATACAGCAACCAAAGTATCTGATCTCTTGTACAAATCAGTGACGATCATATCTACCTAGTCATGTCAAGATTTGCATATTCAAACATCCTTCTATTAATTTGCTAATGTTAGAAGTAGATTAATTGACTCAATTCTCTTTTATATTTGAACTTCTTCCGTGATCTTTAAGGCAAATTGACTTCATATTTCCCAAGTTACATTTTCAAACTCTTGCATCAGCAATTAACTCCATGTTTGACTTTGAATTATCTCTCTTGCAATAGTTCTGACCAATGGCTGTCAAGAGAACAAGAAAATTTTGACTGTGATTGGGCATCTATGTAACATCAAACAAGATCTTGTTTTGTCTTCCTTACTAGGAGCAAAATCTTAAAAACTATACATGCTACAACTTATGAATCAACACCATTTAACATAAAACTACTTTGGTCAAACTAAAGCTAAACTTTCTTTCTGACTGACTTACTTGCAGGCAGTAGAAATTGACTATGACTTATTAATATCAAGCATTTTAACTTAATGGTGAAATATTTTGCTGGACTTTTTTGCTTGATCCAAAGTTTTGGTCAATGATCATGGAGCAGCTTTGACTAGGAGCTTCCAAATTAATGACTGTGATAAGGAAGAAGGACTTGTGAATTGAATTAGCAATTATTTCTGCTATAAAAGTAGTTCATTCATCATTGCCTTGGTGTCATGTCCAAATAATTGAAAAGATTCTTTGCTTAGAAATAGTCGATGGGTAATAAATGTTACATCTCATTCTCCACTGAAGGGAGCCCCATTTATTACTGTTTACTTGGCTTAACAATAGACTCTAAAGTGTTGAAATAAATGTCATAATAGTGCAATGAATGACCAACAGACTTTGTCTAATGACCAGAAAGGAGATGAAATGAATATAAAATAATAATTGATGATGTCCAACCTTCTAGTAGCAGAAAGACAATTAGCAGCACTGTTGATGGCTGTAAGAAGTCTTGCTGATGCAAGAAGAAAGGAAGTTGATAAATGCTTCACTTCACCACTGTGAATGAACTCGTCAATTGTCTCATGACATCAATAATGTCAGTCTATTGTGAGTTAAGTCATAGCATGAAGCAGTATTTGACTAAAATGAATTGTGTGAGTCAAGCTAGACCCTACAGATATTATATTGAAGGATGATTCTTTGTTGATAGCTAAAGACTTGGACTACAGGATGAGGTTTGAAGAGTATGAGATGCTTTTCTGACTTTGATCTCTGTTTCCTAAGTTGAAATGTCATTGTTGACCTGTCATTGGGATCCACAACATTCTATAATACTACAGTAAACAAGTAGGACTTGACTTTTAGCATTTTGTGACTGAATTGTTTATTTCATGACTGGTTGTAAGTTTCTAATTCTGCAGTTGAATTTTCTATTCAAGTTGTTCCTTTAAGACTTAGATTTTGAGTCATGAAAATAACATCTTTTGGTACTAATCTTCACAACAACTTGGTAGAAGCCTCATAGACTAGATTACGTTTTTCTTTAAATCTTATTTCTTGAAATCTATAGACGAAAATGGATTCTCTTTCACTGATTTTAGATTCCATTAACGCATTTCTGTAATAAAAGTTAGACAAAATCATCATAAAATGTATTTATTTCATCCCTTTTCTGCGTACAGTTGGAATTATCTCTCACCTGAAGAAACTAAAGTTTGGAATTACTTTAGTCTAATGAGAATTATAATAGTCCAAGGTTTATATCCTGTATAATTTTTCATCTGAAAACTGTAAAAGGTAAAGAAACTTCTAATTAAAATAGGAATAATTGCATCGAAAAAAGCCTTGGAAAAATATAGTTTTCTGATGTGCGAACTGTGGGTTATAGTTCTGAGTTGACAGTCGAATTCAGTATTATCTCTTCTGCTAAACCTTCATCATGTTATTTTTGAAATGACAAAATGCAAATTCATGTAAAGTTTCTTTCGCAGTTGATGAACTAATTTTCTCAGTATTTTGTCAAATAATAGCATATAGAGAATTCAGAATTTTGCTATTTTTCCACCCATAAGGAGCTCTTAATTGAGTAATTTATCGAACTTTCGGAATGATGCTACATCATTTATAGTTGCAGTGGATGATTATTATGGTTTAAAGATGATCAGAACATACTCTTTTTCTAATCAAAACAAGCATTCTTGAACTGGCAGCGATGTCCAATTCCCATGCCCTTAGTGATGGAGTTGGATTAGTTCTACCACCTCATGAACAAGGATGGAAGTTGGCCTGCATGCTGCCACATTGTTTCAACATCAAGAAGGAGATGACTGGGCTAGCTGAGGCTTCACTGCTTCCATTCTCATTCAAAATCTAGCAATCACTTGTATTGCTAGAGAAACATCCGAAACAGGTTGGTACTTCAATATAAATATAAATACTATATATATATATATATATATATATATATATATATATATATATATATAGAGAGAGAGAGAGAGAGAGAGAGAGAGAGAGGAGCATATTATGCACACACAAGAATGCTTCACATGTCTAGTCATTAATAAAAAGCATTATTAACCTATTGAATGAGTATAAATACTCATTGTTTTTTAATTACTTCTAAAAGATTTCTCTATATAGCCCTTCTTACATTTGCTCTAATGCATGGCATATATGTTGCATTTATATTTTATACCTAGAAACAAAGTGACTTTATATGAAAACCAAATCAGATTGATTTCCGATGCCAAAATATTAAAGGCTGTAAACCTTATTAATCCTTTCCCTTCTATAAAACCTCTAATCTAAGTTAATATGCTATCAAGAAATTTCTTTTTGAAATTTTCTGTTATATTGAATTGGATACACAACAATGAATACCACAGACTTTAAGATAGTCTTGATTCTAATAATTCCACTTTCTATTTGATAAACTATATTTAATCATTAATAATTCATAATGTAAATATAAAATGTCATTTTGTGTAGCATGCATGGATTCAGTATTTTAAGGATGACATTCCCCAGAGGCTCATTTATTATCCTTGATGAGTAAATGTATACAAACAACATCAAATAGATTGGTGGCAAGATGGTTTATGAATATGTTACCATGGATCTTTTACCATCATTTAACTGACTCTATTTCCAAAAGGAACACTAAACACAATCTACTTAGAAAGAGAGTACCAAAGATGGCAATATAAAACATTATCATCTTCTTTTATTTCCCTAGCAAACAAAACAAGATTTTTGTATTTCTCATTCATTTCAGCCATGCATAGTCCTGATCCAATATTTTTGGGAAAAAGAACAAAAGAAAAACTTCAATTTCATGATCTAGGTTGGGATTAAGAACAGAATTGGATGAAGTTACCCATGAACTCTATTACACCATAATTCAGCTAATTATCTCAGTATTTGTATATGAACACAACTTAATTATTTTTTAAACAAATATAAATGATAAAGATGGATTTTGATCTCAGAATCTTGTGATGATCTAATAAGATCCTTACAGCTTAATTTACATTTGAAATTTTGTTGGATGAGGCCTTAAACTTTTGGATCTGCCATGATTCAAGAATAGAATAGATCATGGTTTAAATAGATCAGATTGACTGAGTATTCAAGAATAGAATAGTTATCATTGTTATTTAACAAACACATACTTCTGAACATCTAAAATCAGATTAAATAATATCTAAACTCCATTTAAGTGGGTTTAAGTAGACCCATTTATCTGAAAAAAATCCCAACCAATTACTATATGTCACTTCACACTTCTGGATGCTTCCTCAAATCATATATGTAGTATCATCATCCTCTTCTCTCATAAAATAAACTAAATATTATCACCATGGGCAACTTAGGATTAAAAATTAATTTAACAATAAGTCAGTGCATTCTTTAACTCCTCCATAATTAAGATTATCGCACAAACCAAGTCAATTCCTATCTTATTCTTCTTCATGTTTGTGAGGGAAGTGCAATGTCCTTGAGATCTTCTTTACAAACATCTTGTCTTTTACCATACAATATCTGATGTAATGTTTTATACTACAAAAGACAAAAGAAATGTGAAGAGATCATTAAGTGGTACAATAAGGTAGAGGCTAAATGTTTCTTCGAAGAAAGTCCAATTGAGTTAACAGTACACTCTTTTGCTCTAGCAATTGGACAATGGCCTTTGACTTTGTATAATAGGATTCATACATTGTCAAAGCAACAGATGACACAACAACAGCTTTATTACAAAATAGAACCTTGCATGTCTCACATATCAAACATCCTCTAAGCCCATTTTGCCATGAGAGACATGCCCCCGGAACCCAAGAGCACGGCCAAGTACGCCCAGAGTTGGAGCTTCACACTGCCTTGCAGCTTAGGACCCATGAAGTCGGTCGCCAACAGATCCACCAGAGCCATGTAGTTGAGCAGCCCCGCCGACGATGCGTTCAGCAGCCCGACGACGATGAGAGCCGTGGGGCTGTTGTCTCGGTAGACGTTCGACAGGCCGATTCCGAGAGCCACCCCGAACGGAGTCGTCGTTGCGAAGAAGAAGGCCAAGATGGCCTTCATCTTTATCCCGTACTCAGCCTGCACCCACCCCACAGTTCATGTGTTAGAGAGACAAAGCCGGATGTATCTATGCATGTGATCTGGTTGTACCTGAAGGATGCAACCACCGAGTCCCATTCCTTCAAAGAGTTGGTGGAAACAAAGAGCAGCCACCAGAGGGCGAATGGTGCAAGGGTTCTGAGAGGCTCCCATTGATAGCCCTATCACCACTGAGTGTACTATAATGCCCATCTCCAGCACCTGCACCCATGCAGCAAATACTTACTTTCGATTGTCCGTAGGTCATCGATGACATAACTTTGATATGAAATGTGTACAATATCTAAATGACCACAATAAGATAGTCGATGACATAACTTTGTACGAAGTGTGTACGATATCTAGATGAATACAATAAGATAGTCGATGACATAACTTTCGTACGAAGTGTGTACAACATCTAAATGACTACAATAAGATAGTGAAAGCGTGATCTATAGATGCATACTTTGGCTTAAACATTTGGACTTCGGGAATTTAGTAAGCAGAGTGGTTGTACTATCTGTTGTCCAACGTGATGTCAAAACCTCATGCTGGATTGGCATTATCAAAGTTGTTGATTTTGGGAAACATAAACAACTCAGTCTTCCCAAGCTTGTTATGATCACCAATGCCTTCATCTGTCGGTTTGCGATTTGACCTGGAAACTGATAAGTTCATTCACCGTCGTACCTACATAATATCATGTATATATATACTGCTGGTGTAGTCAAACTCTTTCGATCATCATGATCTTATGTATCTAATCCAATGACAAATGTCATAGTTTAATAGCATTGACGTTTCCTAGTTCCTCGAGTTCGGAAAGGCCACTCTGGTAATGTTGACCTCCTACTCTCTATCCTGAGCATGCATGTGCTGCTCTTCATTCTTTGCAATTCCAGTGTTAGTGGATCTAAGATATGCTAATGATATTATTGGATATCGGGAGGGTAGTCTCGTGATGAGTTGAGGAGGGAAATCTTATGAGCGTGTTGCAGGCTAACCTGTGCTATAATGCGGTTTCGGAGCAAGACTGCTTCTTGCCCATCTTTGCCCTCCGCATCGAGCTGCGGCACGCCGCAATGTCCGTGGCCATGGCCATGCGGAACAGGCACCATCTCGTGGATCGGACTCTCATGGTCCACGACCGTCGCTTTGCTGACCTTCCTCCTGTTGTAGAATGTCAGCATCAGGGAGTCCACCATCAGCGTGAAGATGGCCGACAACATGGCGACAAAGGCCGTGAAGGGGAACTTGGACCAAGGGTTCTTGGGGAGGCACGGCGAGCTGAGGTTTTCGAAGGAGTCGGGCAGGACGTGCATGTAGCCGGTGGCGAGGATCACGCCGGAGGCGAAGGCCTTGACGATCACGAAGAGGTTGCGGTCGGGCCGCAGAGCCGGCACCGCGCGGGAGAAGAGCGGGAGGCAGACGCCGATCATGCTGGCCACGAGGATGGTGCCGATGGCGATGAGCTTCAGCCGCAGCGCCTCGGGCTTGTTGTAGCACTCCCCCAGGGACGCCGCGTCGCACTCCGACGGCGTCGCGGGTCCGGTGTCGTTGGCCGCGGAGGCGGAGTTGGAGAGGAGGACGAAGAGGAAGCTGATGGTGGTGGGGAAATGAGAAGTCATGTTCTTGTCGAATCTTGCTGCTGCTTTTGGAGATATGATTGCACCTCCAAGCTTGGAGGGCGTACTTATAGGGGTTGAGGAGATCGAGTGGTTACGTGTCATCACTGCAAGCGGGTGGATTTCATGCTGCTTTCTCCTTAGTTGACTTTTTCTGTGGGACCAATTCCGAATGGAATATTACTACTAATGAAATGACGAAATAGACTCCGTGATCTGTCGCTTAGTAAAGGCGGGATCGGTTAACGTCGGCGGTATTTTGGGCAAATGGAGCGTCGCTCGTGCCAAACCTTGGCAAGACACAAGTCGGAGTGTTCCGTAGCGCGTGCCGTACCGCTTACCTCATCAAATGACCGGGCACGTCCGGCGTGCCGTACTCATTACCGCTGACATCTCACCCTCGCTCTCCGTGGGCCCTCTCCACGTCAGCGTCTCGTGGCTCAAAGGCAGGATTGGTTAACAGCGGTATTTTGGGCAAATAGAGCGTCGCTCCTGCCACCTCGGCTAGACACAAGCCGGAGTGTTCCGTAGCGCGTGCCGTACCGCTTACCTCATCAAATGACCTGGCACCTGCCGCGTGCCGTACTCCTACCGCTGACATCGCACGCTCGCTCTCCTTGGGTGTTCGCCTCGTCAGCGTATCGTGGCTCGAGTCGTTCTCGTGGTCGGTGTGGAGTATTAACCAAGTATCGCCACGATAGATGTTGGAGTCTTCAAGCGATGGTTGATGATGCACACCATGTGTTCGAGAAATGTCCTCTCTTGCCGCTCGAGAATTGGGCTTCGGCGCGCGTTTTCGGAACTGCTCTGGTTCGATCTACGAACAATCTGTGATGGTAAAGTTTGATGTTCGTCTCATCTTGAACAGATCTTCCTCCTATCAGGTACGTTTTGTTGGGATTCAAGCTGTTCATTTGTTGCAAGTTTGGAATTTTTTACTGAAATTGATTCTTGAATGTTGCAATTGTGCCTTTGAGATGATGGTGTAGTCATTGCTTTTGAAGAGTTAAACACCATCTTCATTGATGAGAGATTAACTATTACATGCAGAGAAATGATTTTCCAGAATATACCAGTAGGATGATTTTGTAGGTTTTTCGTATTCATGGTTTTGTTTACTTCTTCTAGGATACTAAAATAATCTTGAGAAACTAGAGATGATCATTGTGTTTCTTTATTTGTTCTTAGAATTTACCATGTCAACAATTCATTTCAGTATCCTAAAGCCCATGCCTGATTTGTGATTTTACTTCATGCATGTAGGAACAAAACCTACAGACCTCAGTTGATGACCATAGGATTTCAATTGGATGAAGTACCGTTGGAACATTCTCTTTCTCAAGAAAGTGGTGTAGATTGATGGAAAATTTTGTCAACTTTCAATCGCCATAATTTCTTATGCAATTGATGGTCTTTAGTTCTTTGAATTTTTGCATGCAATTGTAGTATTGCTATATTTCCATAACAGAGTATATCTCTAATCATATAGGCACCTCTAAGATGCATCATGTGTGGGTGTAGTCTTGCTATATATAATCACGTGTTAAAAACTCTAATATTAGAAACTATGTGTTGAACATCATGGTTCCTGTGAAATCCATTGCTTCTCAGAAGTGTGTTAAAAGTTCACTTTACATATTATTTGTTGCCTACTTTAGCAAATTATTGTTTATGTTTGATTACAAGAGTTCTGAACTTTGATTGGTGGCACAATTTGCCATGATTTCTTTTAACTGTCTATGATTTTATTGCAGCTGTTCTTATTCTTGTAATAAAATCTAGTTTCAAAGTATGATCTAATAGTCGATATGGTAGAATTACGCTTTCCATAAGAATACACGCGTCCTCCTTGTCAAGGGAAGAATTGGTACAAATTTACATGTACAAGAGTACTTTCATGGAACACATCAAAATGCCTGTTGTACATGGAAAATATGAATTTAAGATCTTTTTACTTCTTCTTGTTGTCATATTGTCACTCAAGTAGACTGGAAGTTATCAAAGATTCAGAACCAGGAATTAATTTTAAAAGTTATCATGCTGTCAACACTTTCTATAATGTTATACTTCTAATAAGATAAGTTCATGGGTAGAGATATCTGATCTTTGGTTAAATGCTTAACTTGTCCTTTGAAAATGGTCGATGCTATGACCGTCCATTTCAGTTATTTCAGGTGACCATAGCCCTTCTCTTCATTCAGGTTATCACTGGTTTCTAGAGAACATGTTTGACCGATTGCAAGCTACAGTCAACTGTACTGCAAGAAGATGTCTCTCTAACATTCATCTTTTTGGATGTTCTTGTAACATTCACTGATGCAAGATTTTCAGAGAGACTAACTATGCTAGGACACCATAGTAAATTTTATTCTACTCTGACTTTCAACGTGTTTATCATAATGTTTAATGCTAGTAGATATTCCAATGTTCAGTACTATAATTTTTTATGCAATGAAGCTTCAAAATGCATGCAGCATTTTCTGTTTCAGTTAAAAATATTTTTTTCTCTTATCCCTTTCTTGATGAAGTTGATTGTTCCTACAAGCATTCTTGTATATTTGCCTAAAACTTCTCTGCTTCTTGGTCATTTGTATTAAGGAGCTGCATCAGGATAGTGGCCTGTGTTGGATGGCCATAATACCTTTGTAATTTGCAACTTAGTGGTTCAAGTAATAAGTTCACATGAGTATTTTTCATCGTTTTCATCTGTAGATGCTTGTGTCACATTTTGGTTATTGAAAGAAGAGCACATAAATATGTAAAGTAACATTTGAACTCTTCTAATGTTTGACCTTATTTATTACACTATACTATAGTAAACACTTGTTTAAAATGTGATTGTTTATGTTTTTATTTATATTTCCTATTGTTATTTTTTCTTAAAACTTAACTTTATGGTAAGTTCTTAGTATGTTTTTCTTTTGTCATTTGAATTCAGGTGTAAATCCAGACTAGGACTTGAATAACTTGCACGCATGATATCTAACCCTAGAGCAATTTATTAGGCAAGGTCATGAGCTTTTTCTGATCTTTCCTTCCAATTGATCCGGTGATAGTGGCCACAAAAGCATGATTCAGGCTTTAGTAGTGCATAAGGGTTCTGTTTTAATGATGACAACAATAACAAGTCATTCCCAAGATTCGTAGTTGGTGATATTGATCCTTTCTTATAGTTAAGCACTCTTTAGAGTGATGTGACAGGAACAAATACTGTGGTATTTTTCATGGTTCGTCTTATCGGTCCGTATCAGTGTACTGATCAGCTATCAGTACAATGCATCTCTAACTATACCGAGCCATACCGAGACACGATATATCGGGCATATTGATGTACCGCCCGTATCGAGTGATACACTATGATACGATGAACCTTGGTATTTTTCTTATTATTTCTGATTAAAGTGATCTTTGGTCATGTTCTATCTCTCAGGACATCTCCAAAGTGAACCAATCTAGTTTGTCTTACTGATACATTGATCTTGGCTGATTGCAGTTAATTTGGGAACGAGTGTTGCATATCTTCTACAAGTCAGAATAGTGTGTGACAAGATCCACACACTTGTATACTCTTGACTGAAACTGATGTGATTTGATTGAAAAGTTGGTGGATCTCAATAAAAAATTAACATGTTGTAACTGTATATATTCATAACTGATGGTAGGACAATATGCTTGGAAATTAAATTGAGCCCAATTGTCATACGTAGCACTGAAGCAATATTATTTGAATATTTTAGTATAATGTCTGCTTTATATAGTGATTTTTGAGCATTCAGCTATGGATAAGGTTGTTTGCTAGCAAGTGGTGGGAAGTAGGTAAATATGGATTTGGACAAGAAGCACAATTATATCTGCTGCAGAATTGTCAAATATGTGCATTTTTATCTGTGAATTTTCACGTACAATAAATAGAAACTTATTTATTAGAAAGGGAAGGAGGAGACTAGCCCCTTTTCCTTTCCTCTTTTCTCAGAACTTTTAACTGACAAATGGCTACTTGACCTCCAAATCTGTGTTCTAAGGAATGTAAAGTATTGTGTGAACTGTGAAATATTCAGATGGATCTTGGCTCTTTTCAAATCTTGGCCTATAATAATTAGCTTGTAGCCAGTGCTTAAGTTATATGCTTTGCAACATTAGAGGTGTTTTATTACTTTATCTAAACTATATTATACCTGTGTCTTTCATATTAACCTGAAGGGAATGAGCTTTTCTAACATAGAGTTAGAGTTCCAATTTGACTTGTTCACTTTTTTCCCTCTGGTCATCTTTATTTCTCAACTTCATTTAATAGCTGGTGATGACACGTCATGGGACATGCTTGTTTCTACTTTCTTTTAACTAAATAAGCCTTCTCTAATCAGGTCATGCCCACAACTAGCTTTTGGTATCAGTTAAAAGAAATAGCAAGTGATTCTTGGAAGACTAATTGCTTTATTAAGACTATTTTTTTAGCCTGGTGCTGACCTTGTTTTGAAAATTTTTTAACCACCCGAGCTGGAGGCATCTTGGAGTTTCAGCTAAGGAATGACTAGAAGGAACATAAGAGTCTACTTTTTGCCACTTTTGTCCAGCTTAATTACTACTATAAGACAGTGAGAAATCCAACTAAAGGTGCTGCTAGAAGAATCTGCGACATGAAGGGAACATAAGACTAGTTTCCAGCTTAATTAATAGTATAGGGCAGTGAGAAATCCAACTAAAGGATATGGGAGTACGAAAGGTCTTAAGTGGAATTCCTTGATGGAAAATGCAATAAGATGGAATTGGATGATTACATCCAAGGATTAAGTTGGTTGCAGAAGGATTAAAGATGCATCGTTCAAGTACCGCAGACAAGCACAGAAATTATCTTAGACATGATGGGCTTGAATAATGTGTCATGAGGTGCAGGCATTTTGCTTTCATACCATGATCAGCAATGAAAGATGCTAGTGAAGAATATATGCACGGCTTATTAGGTTTGGTCAGATTCCATAAATTGACTGTTGTCTTTGCTATCAAGAAGAAACTATCCTCTGAAAATAATTTTGAAAAACAAACAGATGGTGGATCCTTTCCGGTATGCTTTGGTTTTCTTGATGCTTTTGTGATCTTCAAGTGGATGCAGCTAAAGGTGTCTTTAGATCTACTTCATGGCCGCTGTTCTTCACCTCTATCAGAAAGTGGTATGTCAACTTCAATTTCAATTGGATGAAATAATCTTTCCTTTCTTTATCATGTTCATATCTTACTACTATGGCAACTTTATATTCTTCTATTATTGGTCACCAAGCACTTGCTTCTCACAGCCCACTTAATTTCTTGTGATTCACCTGGATTCTGGTTGTTCAGTCTTCTCATGCATCATTTTTGCTCGTCTTTATCAATGTGCATGTTCCTGCACTTTGGGTTACTTTTTGCAGACCATCACATATATAAAATTTTCACTTCTTCACAATATTTGGCTACATCAACCATATTAAATAATTGAACTCAGTGATCTGTTTTAGTTGTATTTTGGACAAGCTCTCCTATGTTTCTGGTAACCCAAATTGTTTCCTTTTTCATAGTTGCATGATATTTTTATCCATCAATGTACATTCCTCCATTAGCCTTATTACATTTTCCTGCTTCATTTACATAATTCACTGATACTCGAGAAAAAAATAAATAGTCGGTTACATTTGGCTGCTTTTTTATGGAATAAAATGTCATGATGACATTAATGACTAGGACTCTAATTTGTGTTGTGTCTCATAGTTCATCCATTTCAATGATATGAATGCTTGCATTAGTAAGGACAACTTGATCGCTAAAATCCAAAATATGCATTGTTACCAGGCTTGTCTTGTACCCATAGATCTGCTAAGTACTCAGATCTTAAGTCAGCTGACCTTTGATAGTTTGGTGTGATTACTAGGCTTGTCTTGTATCCTTAGATCTGCTTAGGACTCTTAAGTTAGCTAACCTTTGATAAAATTCTTAGCATGTTTTTAAGAAAGATCAATTTCTAGCATAAACCTAGGCTTTTCTCTAAGCAGCCACCTAGGCCACCAACCTGTAAGAATCAAATGGAAAGAGATCTTTAATTTCTTCTCCTAGATCTACCAGATCTAGCTAGAAGCTGTCCTGTCTTGTTATGCTAATCAAGGAAAATTCTTCTTTGCAAGCTAGGTTGTTCACTTTTCACAAATAGAGTAGAAATTCTAGAGATCTACCTTTCAGGGCCAGTGTTCATGACTAACATCACCTGTGCGTCCTTATCACACTGTTGCTGAATTGGTCCCGCTTTAGAGCATCCAACAAATTGTCGCACATAACGGCACATTTTGATGCATGCATGGTCCACTGACTCCATCCATCCTATTAAAATACTGTCTGGTAGTCTAAAAGATTAGAATATGAGGTCTGCTTTCTTTTTTCCATGGTTTTGTCTGCATCACATCCCATCTCAGTAAATGACAGCTTGTGATGGACAACAGGAGACATGTGGGCCTGTTCAGTCGTCCATATCTTCCAGCTAAAGTGAGTTCCTCTTCCTCTCATTCCCTTCCTACTGATTATGCTAAGATCTTGTGGCTTCTTTTCTTTGGACAACAATACAAACTTATTTTATTGCTTCGACTAACTTTTGATGTTTAGCATCATAGGCTCTTTGGTATTTTCTTTCCTATCTACTTGTTTATTCTTTTGTCAGAGTGGTTCTTGTGAGCTTTTCAAAGTCATTGATGCCATGGTGGAGACATCACACTTGGTGTGTGATTTTGAGGACCAACAAAAGAATGTGTCTCAGCCGAACAAAAGATTAGGTTTATGTGAACACCACAGGAGCTTCGGTGGCCAGCATCCATTTGTTGTCCAAAGGTCACAGTAGTAGGTCATGAAGTCAAAGCAAAACTCTTTGGAATGATTTCCCCGTTCATGTTCAAAAGTGCGCAAGAAAGGCGTGTTTCCAGTGCTCAAAATAATGATGGGAATGGGAGACCAAACATCCAAATGACAGCACTGGTGGTGGCAGGGAAGTTGCCTATGGAACCAACTTTCAAATAGCTGAGGCAGAGAAGTTTGTCCTCTGGGAATGTATGGTGGGAACCTGACTCCCACCTTTTCCTGTGCCTTTGTTCAGAATATGGCACAACCTTTGCTTTGAACATATCAAAGCTAACATGAGGAGCAACAACAAATAAAGAAGAAAAAGAAGATTAGAACAGAAAGTGGAAAGGTCCAGCAGTAGTCAGTGAGATTCTGACCAAGTGGGGATAGAACAAAGGAAAAGGTTTCTGGGTGACTCTGTTGTTGATGGGTAGAGAAAGTAATAGATTGTGGAGCCCGCAAGTGAAGATGCATATAATTGACCCTAAATGGGAGAAGCACAAACTCACTTGTTATCTTCTCTTTCCTTTCCTTCTTTCTTTCAAGTCTCTTTCGAATCCATTGCTACATCCCCCTAAATGATATCTAGTAATTTTGTGACCACCTTTTTTTCTTGCCTTCCAACTTTTTGAGGTCTTGTAATAAGGGTATTGGTACTAGAGCAAGTGGACAGTAGTGTAGCTGAGGTTGATGGGAACAGCAATGGATTCACAGGATGGTTGATGGAGGGGAATCAGTTGCACTTATCTACATGCACCTTGATGGGCATTGGTTCTCTTTCCCTTATTTTACTTGTTCCCATTCTTTCAGCCTGGTAGGCATGACTCATCAATAGAGAGAGAGAGAGAGAGAGACTAGGGAACAAATCTGTCATCCATATCACTGTGAGTGGTAAACAACAATGCAAGGGGATCATGCTTCACTGCTAATGAATAGAAATGCATGAACAAGTTGTGGTACTGCACTGCTCCCAAAAGTTGAATGGCTACCTTTTCTGAGCTAAACCACAATGCTTGAACACTTTTGAGGACCACAAGCATAATGCATGAGCAACTTCTCTGCTGAGATTGTAGAAAATGGTTTGATGCCATATTATTCTCCCTTCATGTTGCTATCCAAGTCATGTTCTTTTATATTCTTATTGTGTAAACCTTTACTTTCTCTCTCTGACTTTTAGGGGGATGTGCAGAGATGTGGGAAAGACTACTACGAGATTTAGAGCAAAAAACATGCATGAAAGGTAAACACACTGAGCTTTTTTTGGGGGGGGATCTTCTGCCAATTTCTTTTTAATTTACTGTAATTAAAACAGTCATTAGAGATTGTATATGTCTTGCTGTCAATCATATAGTTGGATCTTTTCTCACTAATTAGGATAATCTCATTTGGAATATTATACTCTCGAGGTGGAAGTTTAGAATGCTTTCTTTGGCTGGAGAATTGAGAGGTTCTTCTTTCTTGCTTTCTCTTAACTTCTTTTCTCTCTCTCTCTATTGACCAAAACCCTAAATATAAATCCCAACCCCTCCCCTACCCCATCCTCTCCTCTCCATGGCAGTTGAAGCCCACCATCTCCACCTCTTCTCCTCCCAACTCCAAAGAAACAGGTATCAACTCCTTACCACCATTCACTTCTCCTCTCCAACTCATTCCCCATGCATGCACGTTCCATGTCTATTATACCGGCAGTCGTGGCTTTCTTGATGGGCTTATCGTTGTGTTGTTTGCTGTGCAGGGATGAGCACAGTGCAGTGCTGAACCAGCCGAGCTTGTATACTTTGCAAATGGGACTCGTCGCGCCGGTCTCCGGCGCTACAGTTTCCGCTTCTTTCCTTCCCGTGTACAATTCGTCGGCTCCTGTGACCACCGCTGCCACCTCCCACGGTGGCCTTGCCTTTTACGACAACGTTGATGCTGTGGTAGCGGCGTCGAGGAAGCGGTCACGCCCGGTGTCGTTTCTTGGCGACGACATATCCTCCCACCTGCAGCTGCAGCAGATGCTCGACGTCGATCGCCTCATCCTGCAACACGTAATTCTCCCGATTCCGATGGGCTTTGTTGGCTTCTTTTGATCAAAGGTTGCGGTTTTGATGTCCTGGAATCGGAAATGGCAGGCGGAGAGGGTGCAAGTGGAGCTTACGGAGAGGCGGAAGCGGTTCGCGCGGCAGATCCTGGCGACGGTGGAGGAAGGCGTCGCGAAGAGTCTCAAGGCTAGGGAAGAAGAGATCGCCAGGATCGGGAAGCTCAATTCTGCGCTGGAAGAGCGCATCAAGAGCCTCCTCGAGGAGAACCATATGTGGCAAGGGCTGGCGCGGAGCAGCGAGGCCACGGCCATGGTGCTGCGGGCCAACCTCGAGCAGATCGTCGCGGCGCAGGTAAGGGTGGCGGAGAAGGAGGCGGAGGCGGAGGCGGAGGCTTCCACCACTCCCGACGACGCCGAGTCCTGCTGCTGCGCAGGCAACGGGGAGGAGGAGGAGAAGACGAGCGCGAGGGCAGAGTGGAGGAGAGTTTGTCGGAGCTGCCGGGAGCGCGAGCCGTCGGTTCTGCTGCTGCCGTGCCGGCACTTGTGCCTCTGCGCGTCGTGCGGCCCGGCCGTCGACGCATGCCCCGTCTGCAATTACAGAAAGAAGGGAAGTGTCAGCATCAACATGTGTTGAATTCAATTAAAGATCTCTTTTTCTTGCTTCCTTTGAAGTCATTATTGTAGATATTCTTACTGAAACAAATGCAAACTAGTTCTTGTGATGCTTCTTTCATATCTTCTCCATTATTTTTAAGTAATTTTATGAATTATATTTAATAAATTTATAAAAGTTAAGAAAAAATTTTATGTAAAAAAATGTAAAAGGGATTTTGGATTTAAGTCTAAATTGATTCATGTAAGAGATCTTTACTTATATTTTATTATTCTCACATGATGAAATTTTCAGTTTTCTTCCTTTAGTTGTAAGTAAAGGATGTTGAATCATGTAAATTTTATGTTTATAGATTTATAGATTTTATTATTCTCACTTGGATTCTTTGAGGCAAGAAGGATGGTTTTGTGAGAAAGGAGATTATAGGGATAATTATTTTAGCATCTCGGTCTTTATATTATTAAAAATCATATTAAAATTTATATACAATGTGAAATATTTAATCTTATTTTTTCTCATTTCATCAAATTTGTTGATAAATTTAAATTTATTTTTTCTCATTTCATCAACTTTGTTGATAAATTTAAATTTATGTTTTCTCATTTCATCAACTTTGTTGATAAATTGAAGTGAGGTAAAGTTAGCACATGATCAGCAAATTAAACATGAGGAGAAACGAAGTTAAATATTTTATTTCATAAATATAAGAATCTCAATATAATATTTAAAAATATAAAAAATAGGATAGTGAAGATAACTAATTGTAAAGGG